ATAATAATGTCTGCTAATAGAAAAGCTATCAGGATCCAATCAAAAGAAATAATTGTAAACGCAGTTAGTTGGTCCATCACAACTTCAGCTTAGAGCAGAGGCCTCTGCTAAAAAGATACTTAAAAAATAATCTTCACAACATCAGGCTGCTTTTCTGGGCACATTTAACACTATATAAGGAAACAACAGAAAGACTCCAACATCAGCTGCAAAAGAAAAACATGTAACTCCTTTACATACCTCCATGCTTATCAGACAAACTCAGATGTAGATAAGTTAAGACACACTACAACATGTTCAGATGGTGAGAGAATCAATCCTTTATAATGAGCATTAGGCAATCACACTGCTGAAAATAGTTTAACACAGATTATGAGACCCTAATTTTTCAAGATGTGTTGGTTTTCAGCCAACTCTTCAATATAAGAAATAATTTGAACAGGTGCTGAAAAGTCTTAGGCTTTCACTATCGCAATGGCCAAATACAAAATATTGATTTTGGAGAGTGATCATGTGAAGACATTTTCAGTACCCATCCCATAATAGTTTCTCTTAGCCAATAGGTCAGTCAATCTAGGGTTTCATTATGCAGCCTGTTGATACAGTTTCCAGTGAAACAAAAGGTTCTAGTTAACATATGAAACACATGGTAGGTTTAGAAGTCTAAGCTGGCCAGGTGATGTCAACAGAAACATGTATCCCTCAAATGAAGAAGTCCTCTGGAATTATATAACATTCCAATATGTTTTTGGCAAACTTCATAGGAAAGTTTTAAAAAAATAAATAAAGAAATAAATAAAAGATGGAAAAAAAAAAAAGATGGAAAAAAAAAAAAAGATGGAAAAAAAAAAAAAAGATGGAAAAAAAAAAAAAAAAAAGATGAAAAAAAAAAAATGGAAAAAAAAAAAAAAAAAATGGAAAAAAAAAAAAAGATGGAAAAAAAAAAGATGGAAAAATTTAAAATGGAAAAAAAAATTTAAAAAGACAGAAAAATTTAAAAAAAGACAGAAAAATTTAAAAAAGACAGAAAAATTTAAAAAAAGACAGAAAAATTTAAAAAAAGACAAAAAAATTTAAAAAAAGACAGAAAAAAAAAAAAGACAAAAAATTTAAAAAAAAAAAAAAGACAAAAAAATTTAAAAAAAAAACAAAAAAAAAAAAAAAAAAAAAAAAAAACAAAAAAAAAAAAAAAAAAAAGACAAAAAAAAATTTAAAAAAAGATGAAAAAAAATTTTAAAAAAAAGACAAAAACAATTTAAAAAAGACGGAAAAAAAAGTGTCTATTTTCTTCCTTAACAGTCCTTTAGCAGATTTTCATCACTTTGTTTTATAGAATTTCTAAGAAAATTCTTTATTCTCTTCATTTGCAACTCTAATATGACCGATTGCATTTCATTGATTGGTAAGTAAGATGACATCTCATATCTAAGAGAATGTGTGTATTTATGCTATCTAGCATTAAAAACTCTGAAATTGCCACATTATTTTTTGGAAAATTCATTCATATACATTTTATAAATTTTCAAAAGAGAAAAGATTTTTTAAATTCAGTCCAAAGATTCAAAACTAGTTTCCTTCATAAAATAAAATAAAAAAAAACAAAACTATGCACCAACAAGAAGTTCAACATTAAAAAAAAAAAAAAATTACATTCAGAAACAGAGAATGAACTATATAAAAAAAAAGTGTATAAATAAATGAAAAATGCCTTGAAAATTAACAGGAGTTATTAAAAGTTGCGGATGAATTTATTGAATATTTCACTTAAAAATGAATCAGGCTGGTAGATTTTATTCATCATCTCTCAGTTGCATCTATTTCTTTAGGCAGAGTGCAACTTGGTTGCAGCTCCATCAGAAGACAGAGGCACAACTGAGGAAAATCACACTGTGAGATGACCAATCCTGGGGAACAGATGCCCAAGGCTGCACCTTCTCATTGCACTAGAGAGAATTGGTGCTTGCACCAAGGCCAGCATAACCGATGGTTGCAAGAGCTTGAGGGAATAAATGAATCATAAAAATGCAGTAAGTCAAACTTACCTCATTGTGATACTCCAAAGCCTGCAATTCACCTTCATTCAACTGAGATCTTTTACGTTTCTTCTGCAAATACATTTTTTTTATTTCAACTTTATATAAAATTTTTGGTCAAATTAATACAACCTATATATATATATAAGGTAAAAATATTTTTTTTTTTATATATCAAGAACACTATCGAGGAAATTTGTAAGACAAAATGGAAAAATTTACTTGTGATGCATTTCATTTGTGTTAATTGATCATAATCAATTAATTGCTAATATAAGTACACCCCCCCACAAAAAAAAGGTGACAGCTAAGTTTAAAATGCATTTAAAAAATCAAAAATATTTCTTGAAGCTTTAATTTTAGTTTTAATTCCAAGCTAATAGATTAAATTAAATATTCCCAATAAGCAAAATACTTTGTATTTTAAACTGAATTGGTTGGAATGTTTTTTTTCTACTGATCAGTATAACTAAATTAGAGCAGTTGCAATCTAAGGCTATAGAACCCGGTCTGTCCTGCTTTTACCCATTTATGGTGGGGAGAAGAAGAGGATTCATACCTTTCCCAAGGGTATTAGCACATAAGCAAATAATGGATTCTACTGGAATTCGAACTTGGCTCTCCGATTCCTCAATCCAAGCCACTATCCATTACCCCACTATGCCTCCTTTGGGATTTTATGAAGAAACATTTTCTAAATTCTAACAACTACAACTAAAAAGATTAAGAATTTTAAAGAGAGATAATTCAGCAAAATTTAAACTTTATAATTTGCAACACATACAAAAGCAAGAATATTGGCACAATAAAAATTATCAAAACACATACTAAGCAAAATTATCTTTCACAAACACATTCAAAAAACATTGTACATTCCAATTATTTTAATAAAAACATTAGGTGTTGCCTGGGATGCAGTTGTTATGCTAAAAAAATTCAAAGTTATTATGAACATTGCCTGCTATAAAGACAGAAATCTTTTTTCATTGCTTAATTAAAAATAAAATTCTTATGACGCATGTGCAGTAAATACAGAAAGAAAGAAAAAAGAATTTAGAATATTCTAACTAACATAATCAACGAAAAGTGATTTTTCGGGAGTGTCTCAAAATGACTTAACTCCTGGACGCAATAAAGTGAAACGCAATGGTTTCTTTTCAGTTTGCTGGAGCTTCCATGAACCAACAGAAAGTAGAAAGCCAATCTTGTTTGCTGCATTTTTTCTTTCTTTTTTATTTTTAAATAGAATGTATAACTAAACAACAATGTATTGTAAAAATAGTAAATAATCGTCTGTCACTGCAAAAAAAAAAAAGGGGGGTTAAAACTTGCTAAAAGTTAGTACAACTGCTGACGCAAGAAAAAAGTTTTTTTTAATCAAAATTTCGAATTTAAAAAATTTAATTAAATAATCAAAAAATTCTTTGATCCTTCCTAAGATTTTTAGCGTTAAAGAACTAAAGCAAGCTAATGCTAGTTAAAGTTACTGTTAGCTAGTAGTACGGGTTCGCGCTAAAAACATAAAAAATAATCTTAAGACTTTAACAGTACAATTACAATACATTTTCTTCCTTATCTGGTTAGTTCTTTTTGAACATCTTTAAATAAATGGGGTGTCATCGATTGATTCATTAAGCTTAAGCTCATTTAGCCTTACATTCCAAGTCAGTTCCCCTTCTCCAATGAATCATCGTTAGAGAAGAACCCGAAGAATCAATAATGATCCTTATTTTCCAAAATGTGTTCAAAGTTTTTTTAGCCAATGAAATTTGTCTGAATTCTTCTCTCTTTTTCAGGGATCAACGTGTTGAGTATTATTTTCCATGAGGTCGTAAAAAATAAAGTGAAAGTCTTACTTACAAGTACCCCGAAATCTTAAGTAAAAAAACACTGAACAACCGCCATTCAGACAACTTTGGAAATTATTATTTTAAAAAAGAACCATACCTTTTTTGGCGCTGACTGGGCTATGCTGCAACTTTCTCCACTGTCTTCAACGGCTTTAGATTTGGTGGCAGCTGTTAATTTTTCAAATTGAGTATCCATCATAAAAGGAGAATGAATTTTAAAAAGTTCATCTTTGAAACCGTATGAATGACAGTGACACATTTCATTAGAATACTTTCTTTCGTCTTGAGTTTTGAATTTGCCGCTGTCCTTTACTGTTCGACAGTTTTGATAATTACGTCGAATAGCCTTAGCACTGCACACCAACCAACCGAACTCATTTTCAAAGATCACACTCATTACGAACATTAAAAAAATACAAGTCAAAGTTAATTGCTTTCTTCAAGAATACAGGGGTGATTTTATTAAATCTTTGTAAATTTATATTACAAAAAAAAAAAGTTTTCAAGCAAAGTAAAATAATCTTAGAAAAAATAAGTTTTACTATACTTAGGAATGTTTCCACATAAGGAAACGGCTAATACTACTACCACAGTAAATAAAACCACGTGGAATTGAACTGACAATTTCGTTTAGGTTGGTTACGTAGGATTACCACGCGTCTCGGTTTGTTCGGGACTTTCCTAATTTCAGGATGGTATATCCTGGTGTTTCATTTGAGATATATGCTACCGATTTTTGTGTGAGTACCTCAGCCCTGAAGTTTAAACTAAAAATCTTGTTGGAATATGAATTGAAAATACTTTGACTTTATTATACGACAAAAGAAAGCATCATAATAAAAAAAAGGTCCCGGTTTGAGGCTTGGAAATTACGGTACGCCTGCGCAATCCACATACAAATACCATCCATATAAAACTGAATTTGCAACTGTTAATTAATGTTTCACTCGTAAAATTTACAAATTTAAGAGCACAACATTACTAAATGCTTTGAATTATTGTTTACTTTAATTTCCTCAAATGGTTTTAAGTAGCAGAATTATCTCCCTTGTGATATATTTGTTTGACTCTACACCGCTTCCGGGATTCACATGTTGCATCGTAAGACAACAGTACGATGGCATCAAACGTATTGGAATACGAAGGATGTAATTATTTTAGACAGAGGCTGTTGCAATCTACTTTAAGTGGTAAATCGGTTCGTATTTCAAAAATTCGGCATCGGGATGAAAATCCAGGTCTTCGAGGTTAGTAATTAATTATAATTTCATGTTGACTCATAAATACCATTACCACGTGTTTCTATCGCTTCAACACTCCAACATTTATTTAAACTTTATTTAATTTAACCATTACTCTTAAAATTCTTCGTCTAGTTCGAATTTAATTGACTAATTTTAACTAAGTTTTGTTTATTTGTGCTCTTGAAGTAATTGAAAAAAAGTTATTTAAAAAAATATAGTGAATCGAGTCGACTATAATAGCGAATCTATTTCTGACATGTTTTTTTTTTTTTTTTTACTCCGTTTCATTTTTACCGGCGTTATGACCATGACCATATATTGCTATATTTATTACTGAATTATAGCTTGTCAATATTAGAATTAGTCACTGTCTTTTAGTTTTAACGAAGAATTTATTTGCCACTTCGCGTAGTTTAGATCGGGATTCCTAATAAATTTGAGACTGTTAAACGAAACCAGAGTGGCTCCCAGCGTCGCAGCAATCAGTAATATAGAAATAAACAATTCTTTGCCAAGAGACCCAAAGACTATTTGGGGATACTTCAGAAACCGTCTTCTTGTGTCAAGGCTTGTTCCTTTGAGCAATTTGCATTTACTTTGATCTGATTGCCGATATCCAGCTAGAGCAAGTATCAAAATAATTTGTCTCTATAATAGGAATGTCCCACTTATCGCTAAAAAAGTGGCACACCCTGATGAAAAAGGGCCCCAAACTTAATAAAAACAACGTTTTATCACGAAAAACTTTATGTTATAATTACTAAGAGAATATTCCACTTTATCATCTAAAATAGAAAATATTCAAAGGATTAATTTGTAGAACATCCTTTCCTGTTAGTGGACTTTATTCAATAAACATCTGGTACTCAGATCACTTGTTTTTTTGTTTACACTAAGAATTGGTAGGCACCTTCAGGATTCTAATGTGCAAACAAAACAATGGTAAATAATTGCCATCCTTAAAATCCTAAGGAAGCAAACACCTGTGTCGTGTAAATCAAGTCTCTTTCTCTTGGTTGTAAAAGTGTGGATGAAAGTAGAAGTAAGGGACTTTCAAGCATAACCATACATTTTTTTTTTTTCAGAACCAGAACTTTGTTTTCTTAAATTACTTGACAAGATGACAAATGGTTCCAAAATTGTTGTTAATGAAACTGGTAAGTATTATTAAGAAATATTTTTTTATAAGATTTGTATGTCATCAACTGTCTGTAATCATGCTTAAATCCTCACTGATGATCTCTGGTTTATAGAATCATAGGTAGGAAATTAAAAGAATATTCATTTATTTCCAGTCAGTACAAACCCTCGAAATTCGAAAGGTATGTTATTAAGTTGGTCATATAATCAGGGTTCTAATAACTGTTAGACTTTAGTGTTAAAAGTTGAGAATATTCTTTCTTTTTTTAATGTCATGTCTTTTCAGGCTGTAGGTGATCAAAGGTCTCCACAGCTTCGTTTTTTTTTTGTTTTTTTTTCTGTGAACTGCCATGACATCTTGTCATGGTTTCAGATTGCCATTCCCACACATAGCCTTTTCAGATGGTCAAGAATCATGAGTCTACCCTGACATTTTTAACCCATAATTTTTTTTTGGTGTCAACAAAAGATGGATTCATACCATTCCCAAAGATATTAGTGCAAAATGAATACAACAGACAGGGCTGAAAATTGAATTTTGCTCATTGATCATACTTTCCATCTTGATAATGGATACCTGCACATCTGATAAGGATTATAGCCACATCACGTTGAAATACCAGTTCCTGTAAGATCACCAGAGTTAAGTAACACTAAGTTGGCCAGTACCTAGATGGATGACCACTTGGGAATATTAGGTGCTGTAATCTTGGATCTGTGGGTGGTGTAATGGATAATGGCTTGGAATTGTTATTCAGAGAGCTAAGTTCCAATTCCAATTGGGTTCATTATATTCACTTATGTGCAAATGCCCTTGGGAGAGGTATGAATCCACCTCTTCTCCCACCAGCTATAGTAAGACTTGTATCACTAAACCATTATTATCTCCCCATCCCCCAAATTCTTACAATGTAAAAATATTTTCTGGCTTTAAATAACCTGTAAAAGGTTGATAAGTCATAGAGAATGAATGAGTCAATCCAGCACCCATCAAGTATCAGAATTGTTATTTGAATTTAGTCAAGAATTTTTTTTCTCTCTCTTCTATAAAGAGTTAAAGGAAGTAGAAATATCCCAAGTGGATTTCATCAAACTTCTCCCCAAGTTAGTCATAAACATTAAAACTAGACTTTGTTTTTCTGGTCATAAAATTTACATTTTTTGTTCTCCTAAGTTTTCTCACCAAAATCTATCTTACACATTTATAAGTTTATTATTTATCCATTGCTGTCACATCTTGTCTGCTGCTTCTGCTGTGTATTTAGAGATTCTTGATAAAATGCAAAGAAGAATCTGCAATGTTATTGATCCTGACCTGGTGTCTTGGCTTGAGTCACTTACCCACCACTGCAACATCGCTTTCGTGTGCCTTTTCTATAAATATTATCATGGTAATTGTTCTTTCATCTTTGGTACCTAGACTTTATGAATTTAAGCACAATACTAGATTGGGAGCTAAGTTTCATCATTTTACAATTCAAATGGCTAGATGTAACCATAAGTTCTATAGTAACAGTTTTCTCTTACACTTCTCATTTGTGAAAATCTATTCCAGCTGCTTGCTTTCCAGTCAACTTTGATCTTCAAAAATTTAAATGCAATGTCAATTGTTATCTTTCTTCTTCTTAATTCTTCTTCTTTTATTGTTTTCTCTCCTTAATGTTTTCTTTTTCTCATCTACAGTCACCACTTTGTGTCTTAGTGGTTTTATTGCCTTGCTTGGGGTAAAATGATTAAAAAACATTTTTGTTGAAGAAGATGATATTATTTTCTCTGATATTTTTACCTTCCTCTCAGCCTGAAGGTCAAAGTATGTCAACATGCTACACTTAAAGTAAATAATAATGAAATTAAATTTCTTTTTCAATACTTAAAAGTATTTTTTTATTATTATTATTTTCCTCTTTCATCTTTTCTAGGTACTTCAATTTTATACCATCCTGGATTGCTGACCGGAGGAAGTTTTGACCATGAATGTCACAAAGACAGAGCCATTGGATATTATTTGGAACCACTAATGTGCATAGCTCCATTTGCAAAGAAGCCACTAAAGGCTGTTTTACGTGGAGTAACGAATGATGAGTATGATGCTTCAGTAAGTCTTTTAATGAGGATTTTATGGTTCTTGTTTGGGAGTTTATTAGATATACTATCAACTATTCTTAGTATAATGTGCTGTTGGTATAAAGATTATTGATGCTGAGAGTGGGTCTGTAGAGTTCAAATTTTGCCTTGGTTTGTTCCATTCACCTTCGCACTAATGCTCTTGAGAAATGGATGAATCTATCTTGTATCCTACCAGGTGTGAGTTAAACAGCAGAGTAGACTAGGTTCTGTAGCCTTGAATGGCAGCCTTCTGGGAGAAGGAAGACTCTGAATTCAAAACTGCAGAGAAAGCAATGGGAAATCACTACATTTCCCACAAAGTCATGACAATTCACAAATAAAAAAGAAAGTCTGCATAGCCATGATCATCCATGTCCTAAAGGGATATAACATTAAAAAAAACAAAACCCATCTAGATTATAATAATGGTTGGCCACTGGTATTCAAGAATGCCTGTCTAGTAGGGCAGCTTGCCAATTCCTGTTGCAGACGCTCGCTCAGGCACACTTGTTTGTTCAACACCCACAGAGCCCACCTGCAGCTATGCTGAGTTGACCTTAGCTACAGTTTCTGGAAGAGAGTGCATTATCTAGTGTGATCAACAATTTGAATAAGGTCAGCATGTTCAAACTCTTGGTCACAATGACTTGTGACATTGTGCTGGCACAACCATTGACAGATCCTAGAGTTCTGTCTACCCAGTTTCACTGACAAGGCTTGGGTCAACCCATGGTTTGGTTTACAGGCAGGGATCAAACCCCCCACCCCAGACCAATAACATCAAGAAGTCACCTTCCTGACAAATCAACCTTGGTAAGATACAAATCAGGATCTATTTTGTTTGAATCAATTATTTAAACTATATAAATTACTTCGCTTAGTCATTTACTGGTGATTACTTGAGATGAAAAAGTTTTGATTATTTTTACACCACTCAAATTAGGTTTCTATTGAGAAAATTTCTTTCCCTATACTTACATTTTAACTTTGATTTGATGAATTTGACAAACAAAATGGAGCTTGTAATTCAAATTTATTAGGGTGTTTGGAAATTAAAACTACATTTTCAAGTAGAAGATATGCAAATGATAAAATCACAACTAGCAATTACAGTAGTCATCATTGATTCCCCAACTCATTAAATTCTGAAAAATTTTAATGACAAAAAAAAAAACAGAAACCTGAATTAATGTCTTTATTTCTGAATGTTCTGGTGCTAAAAAGAAAGAAAAACTCTAATAATTGTAACAAATGACACAAATGTGTTTGGTCTGTCGAGTATGGCAGGTAAAACTTCGAGTTTAACATTTTTTCCATCTTGCTATATTTTATTTTTTTTTTTTTTTTTTTTTTAATCATTTCACTCCGAGCAAATCAATAAAGCCACAAAGATTCAAGGGACTTAGTGAGGGTGAGTGAATATGAGAAAAAATAAAACAATGATATTAAGGTAGGTACCTCCATGAAAATCAATAAAAAGAGCATAGCATGACAAAAACGGCCTTAAATATGATGAAAAAAATTTTATCTGCTTAAGTATATATATCACTAGCAGTAGAGCCCAGCATTGCCCAGAGATGTAACAGTAAGAGATAGATCAAGTATCGACCATCATAAAGACTGAAAAATAAAATTGACAAAGATTATTGTTTAAGGTTGACGGACACGCATGTCTTAATTGTTTTTTTTTTTTTTTTTACGAATTCGTCAAACTCAAACAAAAACATTGTTTTCAATCGTTATGAGTCTACCGATTGAATAGAATTTTATTATAAACAATTGTCTTGTAAATGGAATTTTAAAGCATTCTGAATGTAAAAATAAAGAAAAAAGTATGCAAGGCAATAAGAAACACTTGTAAAAAAAAAAAAAAAAAAAGTGAAGTTTTGTTGAAATCGGTTGAAAATGTAGGAAATCCAATCCCATATATAAACGAACACACACACACACGCACACACAACCTGGGTTTTTGTAAGTATAACTCGATATGAGTTGTCCCCCTTTCATTCTGGCGACTGAATCGTGTTTTCAAATTGATTTCGTGCAAAAACAATTGTTTTTCCAATTTTTGGTACTGTCAGAAGCACTGCAAGGTAATTTTACGTAGTCCTGTGAAGTTTTGTTGAAATGGGGTTGAAAAATGTAGAAAATCCGATCCAATATATAAACGTACACACACACACACAATCTGTGTTTTATAATAAGTAAGATTATTAAGAAGAAATACCAAAGTATTTTTTGATTATTTTTAAAAAATTTTTACTCATTCTTAGCATGTCCAAAAAAATTTTTTTTTTTTTTTTGTCAGCAAAATTACTATTAAAAAAAAAAAAACTCGATATCAGCCATTTTTTAAAAATTTTGTAAGCTAAGTTAAAATCCTAGTTTAAAATTCTTCCAAAAATCAATTATACATTTTTCAAAATTTATTTGATGAAAATTATCAAATTTAAAGATTATTTAATATATTTTGAAAAAAAACTTTTGCTTACTTTCTTAGAAAAAAAAATGTTGTTTAAAATAAAAAGGAGGCGATCTTAACATCGTTGGCTATTGACACGTGATAAATGATTGCTGTTATCACATATCGACAGCTAACGTGAGATTCAAGTTATACGGAAGGACATAATTGACGTAACATTTTTTTTTACATGAACCAGCTTATGTAGTACCTCGTAATTATTAAAGTAAAAAAAAAAAACTTTCAGCATTCCAATTTCTTTTATTTTGTTTTTTTTATTACTGTAGCTTACACCATAAGTTTGTTGATACTATCTGTAGAAATTATAAATACTATAAATAAACTAAAATACAAGTTCCGTACAGCTTTTTGAGGGCAACTATAGCCCCCTAAAGTCAATATAGATCTGCTCTGATAAAACATTTCTATCCCAATTAAAAATCATTACAAACATATCAAAAGTTATTTTGTTACACTACAGCCAATTTGAACTGAAAAAAAAAAAAATTGAAAAATGACTTTTGTCATCATCTGAACAAAATATCAAGGAAACTTTTGATCTGCACCCCATGAAACTAGGTATTTCCTGAAAGCAAAGAATGCTCTTTCATTTCTAAGTGAAATTGGTTGGTGTAAATGATTATAAACAATTTTTTCTGGGGATAAAATATGAAAAAATAGTGAAAATTGCTATTCCTGAACACTGGAAACCAGGATTTTTTTATTTTTATTTTTTTTAAATCAGCGATAAGGAAAAAACAGTGTTGAAATTAAGCTAAAATTGACTTTAACATTGCTGAGTCAAAGGCCAGCCAACAATACCAAGCTGTCATCACCTTGTAAAAAATCCCATTTTTTTTTATTTTTTTAATCTATGTTTGAACAATGGCTTGATGTATTTTTGTATTTTTAACACCTTTTGAACGGGTTGATGACGACAACACTTAAAGATAGAACTGAAAACAGTTTGTTTGAAATAAGAAATTCACATAAAATTGAAATAAAGACGACTCACTGAAAAGTGAAAACTGTAAAACAACTTCAAAAAAATGAAATTGCAATGAAATATGTAAATGAAATAAATGGCACTTTTAAAAATGTAGTAATGTTGATAGTGAAAATGGCTTAGGGTGATGTTCAAATTTTTTTAATGAGTAAAAAACGCTAATTCAAAATGCTCAGCATGTGTTTCGCACGAAGAATTTGCAATAATGTAATTAGCATTCAGTGAAGAACGCTTACACTCAAGCCACGTGACGTTTTATTGCTTGTGACCTTCCGTACTTTTTAATTACAGCCATTTTAACGATATTTCTGAACACAAAATTACATTTCTTAATTACTGCAGATCTTCTGATTGGTCAAAACGATACAATTTACAAAGCGCTAAAAAATGATCTATCTTATAAGGACACTTAGAAAACCCGATGTGGCTTTTAACTAATTTTATAATATTTTAACAACTTAATGTAAAAATCTATTATAATTAAAGAAATAACAAATAATTGTATTAAAAAAAAACAAAAAAAACATTATTTGCATTCTTCAAAGCCTTGTAATCACTAAACCCGATGCGATCAAATTTCTAGCATTTTCATAAAATTAGTTATGGGGGGTAATAAATATATAAAAAAAACATATTTATAATAATTTCAATCATCTGTGAATAGTTTCTGAAAGTTTCATTAACATCCGACAATTATTTTTATTTTTGCAAGATTTTCCAAATTAATGTGTCATATAAAAAAAAACGTGCTAAAAATTGTATATGTTATTTACTAGTTTCAGTTGGTACAAATCGAAACACGGTTTATTTTTTTAATCAAAATTTAGAATGTTCTAAAAAGAAAGAAAATTTTATTAAAATAATTAAAAAAAACTTTGGTCTTTCCTCTTCATAATATAATAAGCATTTAGATGATAAAATTTTGTTTTCATAAAGTTTGGCGTCTTTTTCATCAGACTATGCTCTTTTTTTAGTGATTTCATGGAGGTATCTATATTAAGGAGATACAGAAAAATAAAAAACAGAATTAGCACAGATGATAACAATTAACATTGCATTTAAATTTTGGAAGATAAAAGTTAACTGGAAAGCAGACCAGGAGAGAGTTCCACAAGTGCAAGAAAAAAAAACTGTTAGCATAGAACTTATGGCTATATTTAGTCATTTCAATTGTAAAATGATGAGACCTTGCCACCAATCTAGTACTGCGCTTAAATCCATAATGTCTAGGTACCATAGAGAAAAGTAATATTTGAATAATACAAAAATGTGGCACAAGGCCAAAAGGGGAGAAGGCTGGTCTTCAATCTGTCTTAAAATTTAGCTAGTGATTACTGACTCAAACATACCACTGCATTCCTTACACCAAAATAACACATTCTTACTACAGCCACCGTAATGTCTCAAAGTCTCTATGTAGTTCTAATTCTCATATGTACTAATTTGTTTGGTTGGAGATAAAAAAAAAAAAAGTGACATTTAATAATGAAACCCCAATAAATATTTACAATGAATACAATTTATATACAAGGAACTAAACAAAATAGTGTTAATAATACCCGCCCCCCCATCCTTAAATGCAGCTGAAAAATCAGTTAACTGGACAAAATTAGTGCGGGACTAGGCAATTAACCATAGAGGAAAGTCCATCAGAATAATTACCATGAAAGTATTTATAGAAAGATCACATAGAAGCAGTGAAAAAAAAATGATTGAAACCAAGATGCCAGACCAGGACCAAACATTGCAGTTTCTTTGTATTTTATCAAGAATCTCTAAACATGTAGCAGAAGTACCAGACCAGATATTGCAAGAGGATGATAGCCTTTCTATTAAAGGTGTGTATTTTGTGTGTAATGAATGCACAACAGACACACACAAATTATTAGCAATAAATGTGTGTGGTGATGATTCCTCCAGGTTCTAATAACGTGCTAGATAATACCTGTCAGTCTTGATCAGTTCAAAATAGTCAAATATTATGCTTAGTTTTGACTAGAAAACTGAAATTACCTATTAGTGTATTTTTCTACCTCCTAATCGGTTTGAAATGTTCATGAATACTTGAATAATGTATTGTGCATTTTTTTTTTTTTTTTGTTAAATCTTTACTGTGTGCACAAACATTTATTATCCAAAACTCAAGGCTTAGAAAGAACAGTCATCACTGAAATTGACACACAGTCACTGCAACTGAATACACAACACAAATACTATTCAATGTCTGTTTTGCTTGACTGCTTTTATGAAAGTCATACAGCATTCAATGGTAAATATTTAAGATGATTTAAAAAAAATTTCTTGGACATATTTTGCAGGTTATTCAGCATCATCAGAAAAAGAACTGTATTTGACAAAAAAATCTCTACATTATCAAGATGAAACATAATTGCTTATATAAATTTTTAAAAAAATAGGTAATTTAAAATTGTCTTTATTTTTGTGCATCTTGTTATGAAAAAAATATTTAAATTGTTTCATATTTAAATTAGTAAGCTGTACTATGGTGGACAGGTATAGCTTTTACAAATAAACTTTTCAATTAATGAAAAAGCAAATTTCTATTACTTTTCAGGTAGACCATATCAGATATTCCAGTTTACCTGTTTTGAAAACTTTTCTTGGTACAGATGAAGGCTTAGAATTAAAGGTGAGTGAAGCTTTCAAATTATTTCCTTCTCAGGGTTGACTTAATGGAATCTGCTAAATAGCAACAGAAAATGTCCAAGTTGAGTTGGACATTAATCCATATAATGGCTGGCTACTCATATCCAAGTATGCTTGTCTACTAGCTAATTACTGTTGCAGACACCTGCTGAGATACATTTGAGTTTTTTCAACACCTACAGAGTGCACCTGTGGTATATACTACAACTACTATGATTCTTAGAGAGCGCAAACATCATCTGGTGTGATCAACTGTTTGAACAAGGCCAGTACACTCAAACCTTTGATCACAATGATGTGTGACTTCATGTTAGCACAATATCAAGAAAAAAAATATCTACACTACATCCACTCATAAGGCTTCAGTCAACCTATAGTATGGTTTTCATGCACTTTCCAAAGGTGCCACATGCTGGGATCACCTCCCCCAGGCTAATACAGGATAACATTCCCTTCCTAAGAAAGCAACCATGGTGAGATGCAAAGTTCTAAACACTCGACCACACATCTAAATATATATATATATATATATATATATATATATATATATATAAAAAAATCTGTGGGTAAGTAATCCAAGTAGAAGCTGATAATATAAAATATTAAAACTGAGCCACAAAAGAGAGCTCAATATATTTATTATAGAGCATATAAATGAATTACATAAAAATTGTTCCTCACCTGTCAAGATGCATTTGCATCGAAACAAAAATGCATCTTTGTCATGAGTACTTGTTTGTCCATATGTAACATCTTTACAATAAATTATTATTACTCTACTCTTGGTATTGAGCTCTTTTTTAAATTAAATGTTGAGTTAAATTTTAGTTTCTTACCCTTCTGTCCTAAACTCAATGATAGAATTATGACAAAACTTGTACTAGTTGTGATTTAGCAAAGTTTAGGGCAAAAAAAAAAACTTATTCAATCATATATATGTGCCATTTTGTTCCATTACCTTTTGCCAGCTTTGCATCCATAAGAAATAGGTGGGGTGGAGTGGGGTGATCTTGTATGAAATAGGTATCTTACCGAAATGCAGCTCTGTAACTTAAGGTTTATAAGCAAGATAAATTGAAAACAGATCTTGCAAATCAGAAACAGGATAACATGATTCACATAATATAAATAGATCTTTCAACTCTGATTCACATAATATAAATAGATCTTTCAACAGGAGTGTTTGATGGGGTACAAGTGAGTTGATTAAAATGTATGCATATTGTCTCTTACTAAATTCAAATAAATTCAAATATTTGTCTTTTTAGATAAACTCCAGAGAAACCTAATTTTGGCTGTTCATTGATTGGATAGTAAGGATCCCATTTTTGATTGGTTGAAATAGATAACAAAATTGCTATGATCCACTTTTGTAATGAATTTGTGCTTAAATTAAAAATTACATGTCTGCTTGAAACACACTTTTCTCAGAATCATTCTATTCAAATTTTGTTTAATGATAATAATACTTAGTAAATATTTTTCACTTTGATACTAGACAATATTTAAAGTGAATCTTGTTTACTTTTATATATTTTGCTATGGTTGAGAAGAAAGTTATTTTCTTAATTATCTTTTAATAGACAACTCGTAGGGGACCAGCACCTGAAGGAGGAGGAGAAGTTGTGTTTACCTGTCCATGTCGTCAAAAACTTCGTCCATTCAATTTCACTGATCCTGGAAAAGTGAAAAAAATCCGTGGAACTGCGTATCCTTTTGTTGTGCTTATAAGATTACATTTTCAGCAGTTTGTTTTAGTCAGTGTTTAAAGCAAGATACATTTCAAATTTGTATTTATTTGATGTTGGTGTGATATCAACTTGTCTAAACCAGTTGTGAAGAGTGGGGTTAATTTTTTTTTGTCACTTGGATGATTATAACTCGATTAAACATTTAATACTGAGTGAAACAGAAGATTAATATATTAACTCTATTTGTTCCTTCATTCCCTAGTTAGCACTTATGTTATGCCCTGCCAATAGCTCATAAATAATGGACTATTCTATTTTGATTGGGAGGAAAGAGAGAAAAGACATTGGAAACACTGGTTTAAGTGAGAAAATGAAAGCTAAAATAATGGAGGTGATACCTTTTGCTTCGATAAAATGGAAAACCTTGTCAAATTCAAATCTTTTCATTTGTATCTTATTTCTTTAAATAATGACCTGCATTCATATTCTTGTTGAAGGAACTGGAATAACATCAGGGAGTGAAGATGAAGGTTGCAACTTTCTGAGGTCAAAGATAAATCTCTCTCTATCTGTAATTCATTAGTACAATATATATATTTTTAAACTCCTTTTCCAGCATGCACCTTCAGCCTAAAATGTAAGTGAGTTTACATATCAAGTGCATAGGCATGAAATAACAGTTTAAAGAAAACCTCTTTTCATTCTACTATTGGAAGTATATTAGATTGCCAAAGTTAACCTAACAATGACAGTTGCCATCACATTTAGCAACCTGCAGTATCATGTTTACTTAGGGACTTTTGTAAATAAAATGATAGTATTTATCCACTTCAAAAATTGGGTATAGTATCTTGTTACATATTGTTAGCTGGTATCCAAATCAAAAAAGGTTTATCATCATGCCCAGTTTATTAATACTAACCCTTATTGTAAGAATTATCGGTAACTTGTTCATTTTTATTGTTTTTAAATGTTTTCTTATTGTAACAAATTTTTAAGGACTTTTTCAAAATAAAAAGAAAAATATTATTAATGTTTGGTTTTGATGAAGCACATGACCAGCACTTAGAGGAATAGTTAAATGAGAGAAGCAAACTGATAGGCAAGATTCAGAAGCTCAAATTAGATTGGTAAGTAAAAATTTTGAGAGACAAGAGACACTTTACTCTTAAAAAAAGATGTCCTCAAACAGAAAGGTAAATTTCATATGTAAGAAAATCTGTTAACTATGTTGAAAAAAAAAACATTCTTGATTTCTCATTTAATTCAAACAATATTTTGTTTAGTCTGTCTTATAATAATCACAAGAGGATACAATTTGGAAACTGATGAAGACTGTTGAAGATTTTAGAAGAATATAATTATGCCAGTGTTGTAATTGAAGTAATTTTACTGATTACTTAAAAATAAATTTAAGCTGGCTGAAAAAGTATTTGATATTATTAGTCTGCTTTGATAGTTGCTGGCTTTTCATGTTAGTTCTATTTATTGGTGTTTTCCTTACAAGGTGACACTTTGTAAAGAACTTTGAATATAATTTTAAGTTAAGATAACAATATAGAAAAATATCCAAAAACATCAGACTGTCAAATATAAAGTACTTTTTAGTATCATTTCAAAGTTCTCCATTATTGAGGTGTTTGAACTTTTAAATTCATTCTTGGTTGCAGAATGTTTTGGCTGCTTTATTCTACAGCCTTCTGGTGTATAACTTGAAAGGAAAGTTTGTTTTTTCTCTCTCAAAAAAAATGATAGCAAACAATAAAATATTACATTTTAATGTATGAAAGGTTTATACAAATGTAACAACTATGAAGGGATAGAGATAGCACAGTTTTAAAAATGTTTCATGTTTTGTATCAGTAAAGTTTGTGAAAATTTTTTAAAGTTTTATAATTGTGACCTATTCTAGATCAAATTTTGGCTTCCTTGTTAGCAAAAAGGAAAATATAACTTCAATTCTCTGTATGTCTGCCTACAAAAAAAGTGGTTGTCCTAATCTTTATCACCATGTTTATCACAACGTTTCGGCCGATGTACACTCCAGCCTTCTTCAGGTGGTTGAAATGTCGAACTGAACCATTTCTTTCAGACACATGGCACAACATAAAGGGGTTAGTTAGATCCAGTGACAGGACCCAAAGAGTGTGAGTTCAATACCTGGTTAAGGCAGTGGAGAACATTCAGAGGGGAATTAACAGGAGATAACTGACATCCATTAGACATGGCACGTGGAACTAGAACAGTCTACCCTAGTGAGCGAAATAAAGTTTGACATTCCAACCACCGGAAGAAGGCCGAAGCGTACAACGGTCTAAGCGTTTTGTTAAACATGGCGACAAAGATGTGGACAATAGTCCAAATAATGTAAATAGTATAAATGATATGTTTAAAATAATCTGCAATTTATATTATTAATCTTGGTGTACTTCATTGTGATTTCCAAATATTTTTTTTTTTTAATTGTAAGATTGGGTAAAACTAATCAACTCTAATCAAGCTGCTGTCATTCTCAATGTCAAATAATAGCTTGAAATTGATAATCAAAGAGCTGAGTTCCAATTCCAGTTGGCTTTGTTATATTCACTTACAAGCAAATACCCTTGGGGAAAATATGAAGCTACTTCTTCCCTTCCAAGTATAGGTTAATTGTTAAGACTTATATTAATAAATCATTATTATTTAAATAAAAAAAAAATAAAAAAAATCTTACAATCTAAAAAGAAATATTTTCTGGATTTAAATAACCTGCAAAGTGTTGATATTTAAGGAGTTGCTTACTGATCCTCATGTGATTTTTGTATTTTATTCCTTAATTTAACTGTTCAGCTGGTGTGTACGTGTTGCTCCTGCCACAGTAAATAGATTAGTTGAAGCAGCCCGAGGGATACTCAACCAGTTCCTCCCAGATATCTACATCCATACAGACCACTGCAGAGGTAAAGAATGTGGCAAGTGAGTATAAGCTTTTATTTATATTAATATAAAAGATATACTGACAAATTAATCAGTATAATATAACATCTTGATAAAACACAATGTCTTTTTTCTATAACATTCTTATTTTTTTTGTAAGTTGTCCAAATGGCTTTGGTGAACAATACTATTATTCTGCTTGTTTGTATGCATGACTTTTTCAAATTTTATTTTTATACAGGGTGTCCCAAAAGTCGCATTACCATTTGATAAACTTTGGACATTTTTTATTTATTTACTAAATGAAATAATGTTTCTCTATGTCACAGTATATTATTAGGAAACTTTATTGATCGAATTATGGAAGATGATGTCATGCAAATTTCCTGTGGTTGCAATTTCACAAGTGTGTTTTCTTCCAATTGCAGCAAGACTTTTGAGATACCCTGTATAATTCATTATTTATTATTCAATAAAAAAAAGAATTTACAGTTGTAACAATGTCAGAGAAGATATATAATCTTCAACAGAATCATTTTTAATATATACAAATATATATATATCACCCTAAGCAAGGAAATAAATCCACTAAGACACAAGGGGGTTATTGAGTGTGAAGGGCTATGAGAAAAAGAAAAAAAAATTAAAGAGAGAGAACACTAAAAGAACTGGAAGTAAGAAGACAAAATAATGATTGACATTGGATTTAAATTTTTAAAGATCAAAGTTGACTGGAAAGAAGAAGCTAGAAGAGAGTTCCACAACTGAAAAGTGCAAGAGAAAAAACTGTTAACATAGAACTTATGGTTACATCTAGCTATTTCAATTGTAAAATAATGAGACCTTGCTGCTAATCTAGTACTGCACTTAAATTCATAAAGTATAGATACCAAAGAGGAAAGTGATATTTATTCTTGTTAAAATACAAGAAACGTGACAAGGCGAAAAGTGGGTGGGGAAGGTTGGTCTCCATCTATCCTATTTAACTTAGCTAGCCACAATTACTGACCCAAACAAACTATAATACTCCTTACATCAAAACAATACATTCTTACTACAGTTACCATAATACTGCAAAATGATGTCCTAACTAGTCTATACAATTTGTCTGTGGTGGGTGGGGAAGAAAAACAACTTTTAAAAATCTAACCCTAATGCATATTTACAAAGAGTAAAACTCATCAGAACAATTACCATAAAAATATTTGTTTTTTTTTTTTTAAAAAAAAAAAAAACAAAAAACACATGTACAGGGAAGATACATTAGTGGTGAGAATGACTGAAGTGGAGATGCCAGGCTAACTATGGCTTTAAGTGAAGGCACGGATAAGAAATGGTCTCTTGGTGAGACTCTGGCATGTACCTTTTGCCTCAGGGAAGATTAATCATTGCATCAGGAACTCTGTAGTTTGACAAAAGATCAAATCTAACCTATAAGCCCAATCTTTATTCTTTTCTGATTTTTCAAGAACTCCTCCAGAAAGGATCAAACTGAAGAAACCTTTAATAAATTTATTGATTCTTTTAATTAAAGAATTTTCAGCAGGAAGTCATAACTTGCTACCATGACAGAATTTTGAGTGATTAACTAATTATTTCTTTGGACATCTTTTATTTAACTAATTCATTTATTAAATTTAATCCCAGCTGAGTTTTTCTATTTTTATCTTTAATTAATGGTTTATATACTAGGATTTAATTGATCAATTTATGTCATTTCATTACAGATCTCCTGGCTTTGGCCTAACACTTGTAGCAGAAACCACAAAAGGTGCATATTTTTCTGCAGAAGCAATATCCAATCCAAAAGGCTCTGACAAAGGACCATCAACTGCTGAAGATATTGGTATGAAGGCTGCATATTTATTGTTAGAAGAAATCTACAGGGTAAGAAGTTTTTAAATTGGGAAAAAAAACATTCTTTTGTTTTGATTAAATATGTGATAAGCACTTACAGGATGAGTTAAGTACTGGGAGCAACAAACTGAAGAAAAACAGCAAATTGGTATCATAATTGATAGTTACCAGTTTTGAAATTCTCTTGGAAGAATATTGAATATAACATTCTAGTAAATATTAGAAATTTGTTCTACAATATAGTAAATTTGTATATAAATGTGTACCATCTAAAGTTAGAACAAACATTGTCATCTATACTTGTGGGATTTTGTGTGTGTGTAGTTCAAATTCTGCCTGAGGCCATTGCATTCACTTTTGCACAAATACCCTAAGAAACAGTATGAACTGATGTTTTCCCCTTCAGCTATGGTTTAAATAGCAAGGCTGAATATGCTATTTCACCTTGGTTGATAACCAGTCTAGAAGAACAATTCTGAATTCAAAACCTGCAATGTTGCTAGAACAGCCTGATTATCCAGCTAGCAAATCTGACATTTTAAATGGCTAAAACTGCAGCAATATGTGACCATTGCAGCTACATTAGCACCTTACAGTTATGGTAATGTATAAAATAGTTTCCAATGAAACATGGCAATGTTGCAATGTAAACAAATATACTTTATTCCTGTGTATCTTTTGTTTCAGCAAACTAAAAATTAAAAGGATTACAGCTTCCTGACATTGCAAAAGAAGTTAATAGATTTAAATGTAATTTATAGAATATTAAAGCTTTTATGGTGATATCGACTCTTTTAAGTCACCTAAAATACCAGGGTAGCTATGCAAAATGATACTTCAGCAGAATTAAATGAATCAAAGATGTTCCATGACAAACCATTTTGACACAGCAACTATTATTAGGCATCAGGTAAGCAAAGAATTTGGCATGAAAATGTCTCTGCAGATAGTGTTGTCATCTATGTGAAGCAAAGCTTCATGTACGTTTTCCTGCCATCAAAGACCTCATCAGCAAGACCTAAAAAGCTAGATTAGTCTTTGCCAGTGAGAGCATTACTGAGATCAATGTAAATTGGGAAAGGGTCATCTTCAGCAATGAAAGAAAGTTTAATTTGGTTGTATAATAATTGCTTTCCAAATATGTGAAAAAAAAATCATTTAAATTCAGTTATGGTAGCATATTGGTGTGGAAATTTCCTCTATCACAGTGTTAGTCTACTAATTTGGTTACATCATGAAGTAAATGCTGCACTACATAGAAATATTATTGAACAATATGTTGATCTTTCTCTGACTCCTGTCTCATCTTTATACAAGATAATGACATTTGTCATACTGCAAAAATGTTTAAAAAAAAACTTCTTTGAATTTGAAAGCATCAAGGTTATGGCACAGCTTTCCTAAAGTCTAGATCTCAATCCAATTGATAATCTTTGGAAGAACATTAGCAATAATGTTAGGGCAAGGAAAGCAACATGTGGCTGTTTTGTGGCAGAAACTTCAGTAGTTCTGTGGTTGTAGATGTGCAGGATTAAAAGTCATTGCCTGCACACATTTTACTATTTTTTATAAGTCAGTAATGTCAAAAATTATTTGTAATTACATTGTTTTTTTTTTTCTTCTCCTATAACTATATACTTTGCTTCTTTCATTCTTTTAAGAATATTAATTAAAATTTTTATTATCTGTAAAATTGGAAATGTTTTTCATTTTTAAACTTTTGCTTCCCAATATTCAAAACAACAGTAACAAAATCTTATCTCAAAAACTTCCTGCTGAAATTGCATACAATCAAATGTGGTAATTTCAGGTAACTGTTAAACTGTCACAATATCCACAAGGTATAATCAAAGGGAACAAGTAGTGTATATGAATTGTACCATCTTGAATTATGGTATGCCATTTTGTGTTACCATTAAAAAAATAAAAAATGGGAAGAAGGCCTGTTGCAAAGATGGTTTTAAAAGGAAAAGAGTAAAAAGGTTGTTTTCAACTTATAGGTCTATTTATTAAAGTTAAATACATTTACTCAAGCTGGACTATCTCATTAAAACATTGAGATTTTTGTCCACTTTGTCAGTTGCTAAATCTAGCAGTTTCCCATGAAAATGTAATGTTGATTCAGATACTTCATGGCAACTTGCAACAGCCAAGTAAAATTCACTTGACTTCCTCCTTTGAAAAAAAAAAAAATTTAGCTGAATATAAATATTTCCCAAAACCTTTCATTCTGGTCCTTAAAATACTTTTTCTAAATAAGAATTTGTGAAGTAAGGATAACCAAGCCCCAAAATATTAAAACCACATCCATAATGTGAAAATCTAGACATGTGATGTCAGGTCACTGATTTTTGTACATTTTCCAAATGACTTGGAAAAAAAATTCATTGAAAAGTTAAGAATGATAAAACATAAAAGCAAATCTGAGTAACTACAGCCTTTTGGTCATTTATCTTGAGAGCCTTTGCTTGGTCCTGTCACACCTAAAATGCATTCTAGTGCTATAAAGCACTTAGCTACTAAATATTTCTAAATGCACAAGACCCTTTAGTACCACAGCTGCATTGCCAATTATTTTTGGGGGACTACTTCATAGTTCATGACATTCAGCTCTCGCATAACAATTGGCATACATTTACAGCCACATCCAGGTAATTAAACACATCTGAGAGTAACTACAGAAACCCATACCATGAGCTAGTGTGAAATGACAGGGATAAATCAGTTCTAATGAGCAAAGTGTGATGTGTAATTGCATCAAACTTTGCCTAATGCTAAATGTACTTAAGAAACAAGTAATGGATGAAGATTAGAAAGACACCAACCTTAGAGAGAGGATATTTGAGGCAATCTCTAATAAAAGGAATGAGGATACTTTCTATGTACCTTTCCTAGAATTTTTATGACTAGTGACAATATAAGTCATTTTCAGCATTAGCAGCTGACAGAGCTTTTTAATTGTTTGTTTGGTTAGTATCCATTACTTGGAATGTTGGTAAAGAAAATAAAAATAAAACCTGGTATCAGTGTGCTAGATCATATCAAACCAAAGTGATCATATTAGTGACTGAAAGACCTAAGATTTCATTCCAAGTGTATAGTGATACCAAAGCAAAAAGCTTCTATTTGTGAAAAGTTAAATCCATGATGTCTGCATCATATAAAATTTATTTTATAACATTTTGTAGAAATATACTTATTTATTAAATGAATGATATTGTTTGAACTTTGAATTTTTTCAGGGTGGTTGTGTTGATTCCACCAATCAGAGCATGGCTGCATTACTGATGGTACTGGGTGCACAGGATGTATCAAAAGTGCAGACAGGTCCACTCTCTCCTTACACGTAAGTTCACTCGTTATTACTTTATTTCAGCAGCATTCTTTTTTTTTTTTTTACTTAAAAGAATATACAGAGTTTGAATTTAAAATCTCAATTTTAAAACTTGGACAAGGTTTTTTTTTTAAAGTGGGGGTAAGCTTTTGAAACTGTTTCTTTCTAATTAAATCTCTTCTAACTTTCTTGTAACTGACCAATTTGACATTGATATGAAAAACTGGTTGGCACTTGATGTAATGAAAAGCAATAAAAGTAAGGATAGAATGAGTATGCGGTGCAGTGAACAAGTAGTAGTTTTTTTGTTATGCTTTTTAATAGCCTTGACTGGAAAGATTTTTGCCTGTTGTAGTTAAAGTATGTGGAGGTAATAAATCAAATATAATGGTTTAAGAGAGCAAATTGACACAAATCATTGTTTAGATTTAAACTTCATCCTTACTATGACCAGTAGGACTGTTACAGACCTTTGAGAACCTTGTCCAGATCCTCTACAAGGAGTGAAATACCAGCTATCTCTGGCTGAAAATGACTTTTTAAAATACAATTTGTAAAAATTTGCTTTGATGACAGATTTACACATTGGAAGAGACTATCCTTGCTACTGAAAATGGCGTAAAGTGAAGAAGCAATTGCCATTAATGTACATGGGGGAAATTTCTATGAAAGTGTTTTCAAATCCAAAAAATAACTTATGTTAGTTTATTTGATGTAGAAAGCTTAAGATACAACTGTATGCTTGACTGTTTAGCTTCACACATTTTTCTATCATATTTTTGTTTTGTCTTTTTTATAGAATGGGTGTAATGAAACACATAAAAGATTTCTTCCAAGTGATATTCAAAGTGGATGAACAGAAAAAAGAAGACGAAGAAGAAGAGGAATTAAAGCTGGGTGGAGAGAAGCTCATTCTAACCTGTGTCGGTATTGGATATTCAAATGTCAGCAAGGCAATTTTGTAAATAAATATCAGATTGATCTGATAGTCTGTCCATTTTATGGATTACCTGAAAAAGTAATCCCCCTTGAACAATTGATTGCTCAGTAAGATCACGCACATCAAGTAATTATTACCTCTTGAATTATTAAAAGCACCAATGAAATCTTTTGCAATCATAATACAGAAAATGAATACATTTTGCAATTAATTTATTTTAAAATTTTTCCTTTCCTTCATTTCTCGCTGTGTGTAGTCTAAGAAGTCAAGGATAGGTTAGACTGTCCATCATGATAATATTTTATGTGGTTGAAAATGATCCAATCCTTTTTTGAAGTCTTCTATGTTTGTAATCTGGATACACTTGGCTTGTGATTGCCCTGGAACACAGCGACAAGTTAGCATGGAATAAGCAGATTTCAAGTCTAAAGGAGAGTGATTTGCAGAAGCCAAAGAATTGGATGGACGAGATCTTACTGGTTCAGTCAAACAGTTGTTCTTTTTGTTTTTCTTCTTCTTGGGAGGTTTTTTGCCAACCACCTAAAAAAAAAAAAAAAAAAAAAAAATTTATTTTTGAATTCTACATTTTCATACAGAACATTTATAAGCAAATGTATTTCATCAATGAAGTAATATAAAATTTGATTAGAAAGCAAAAGCAAACGCAAATTACTGATGCTTAACAAAATGTATGAGCATTTTGAAAGTGGGACCTAGAAACTATTTTCAAAAAAATTTTTTTTCTTTCTTTACCTGAACACTAAGGATATGTTGATCATTTAGCAGTGTTTTCTTTACGTAACTGAGAAAATCATCATAACCGATATTCCGCAGAGCTTGAACCTGATAAAATAAGAGAATACAAAAACTTAAAATAACACAAGGGAAATGAAAAAAAAATGCTTAGTTTCAGCTTTTCATATTTTCAGTTTTTAATTAGATGAAGCACTATAACATAAATGACTGAAAATGCTTCATTTAATAAAAATCAAAAATATTACTAATACTACTCATATATATATATATATATATATATATATATATAAAAGACAAAACATCAAAAATGTCATTGGAGAAGAATAAATGGCAAATTTAATCTGCCTGAAAGAGTAGAAGAGCTAGTAGGGAAACAAGAGACTTACAAAAAAAAGTACGAGTTCTTTATTTCTAATGCGTGTGATTTTATGGTTTGAGTATTTTTGAAAGAAATAATACACTAAACAATTTTTACTCAGATTTATCTAAACCTGTATTTGTGATCATAAACTCATTTACTTAACACTCTTTGTAACAAAAAAAATAATTAATCAAGTTAAATGAATTAAAATGAAAAAAAAACCCCAAAAAACTGACCTCTTTTTCAAGACGATCAAATACACAAGCCTGAATAGAAATCTCATGCCAATGCCTCCTGGATTCCTCAGACAGTTTTGTATCTTCACATTGTTTGGCTGTGATTAAAGTTTCTTTCTGTTTTATGAAAAAGTAAAAATAAAAAAAAAACTTCATTTTAGGATATGAAAAAAAAAAGTAGCTCCCAACTTTCATAAATTTTAATATTCTTGTTATCTACATGTATTATATTAAGATATGGTGAGGTAGCAGTTCTTATGGTTTAAACAGAGACCTAGACAAGGAATGTTTTGTTTTTAAAACCTGATCTTTACTGTTTCTATACAAGTGAACACTGGTCAGTCTTGAAGCTTTTGATCAAGCACTCTTTGTTATTAATTTTGCCAATATCAAGATTCAAAACTAATGTTTGGCGACAAAAACTACTTTTAGATGCTTGTAAAATTTTATTTTTACATAAAAGCATGAGGTTTGTGTATTTTTGACAACATCAGTTAAATACATTAAAGATCACAGTATCATGATCAATGATTTCACCATTTAGTCTTATTCTAATAAGGGTTTCAAAAATGTGACTTTCCTTTTTTTTTTCTTCTAGGCAATGTTATAGAGTATGTAAATTACCTACAAGTATTTGGCATGTAGCTAGTGGGATAAAGGCAGTTTAGTCATTAGACCAACTTGCAATTTGTGCTATTGATGAAGAGCATCAATAGCACAAATTGCAAGTTGGTCTAATGACTAAAGTGGTAGTTGTATGGTGAACATGAATTCGATGTCATTATAGACCTACAAGCATGAACATCTAAGGCTTTTGTCTTAATTCAAAGAAATCAAATTCATTGATTTAATACTTATATTTATAAAAATCAATTTAAATAACTAACAATTTCAGATGCCACATTGAAAAACAATTTTTGCCTAAGAAACATCATGTGAATGAGCTACTGAAATTTGGACACAAACATGCAGTCACTGCCTTGGTGATGCTTATCTAGAAATCTACACTCAGACATTTTGATGAGCAGAAACATACTATCATCAATTCTCAAATACTTAAAAAAAATTTTTTTTCATGCAGAAACCTCATAAAATTATGAAATATTGTATCATTTTTATAACTTTCAGTAATAAGAAAATATTAAACGATAAAGATATCAATTATGAAATTTAATTACACTGGAACAAATCATTACCATAAATTTTGGTCTTTCTAAATGTTTGCAACTATATAAACAGATTTGCATTAAAAGGACAGCATATTACACATTTGTACAACTGCTCCTACTAGTCAGCTATTTTAATTGATGTTCCATTTAACAAAATATGAATGCATATAAACATTTAAATACTGGCATTAGTATAAAATTCTCCAAGTTCATATTTCAAAACAAGGAATTTTATAGAATGAAACCTCATCAGTTTAGCTTTACAATTATGTGCCAAATGATGGTCAGATCAAAATTGTTAAAGGAGAATTTCTTAGAAACCCTAAGATATACAAGCAAAATAATGCTAATAAAATCAATCTTTATTACATACCAATGCCTGGAACTCTTCGAGTGTCATCATGCTGATAAAATCATTGATAAACATATGCACCTTCTTGTTCACAACTTCAGGACTGAAAATATGATTAAATCAATTTTAAGAAAAGAAAATCACCATCTATTCTATTTTCATACATAAAATGTTTTAAATATTTCTTGCTAAATCCAAGTAAACAATTTTTTTTTTAATAAACAAAGATATTTCTTGATGCAAGAAGCAGCTGCTTCCTTTAGAAAGTTTATATGCACCTATTCCTTTACCTAAAACATTCTAGTTTCATATATCTACTCATTTTATTGTAAAACTCATGGATTAGCATTACCCAGAAACATATTACATTCAATCCTTCAATCCACTCTCATACTTTCAATATTTGTAGGGGGGAATCAGCCATTAACCTCTGAGCCATAATGTGTGTGTGTTAAACTTTTCAACACTACCACATCCCAGGATTGATTGATTGTTAGTTGGGAATTCAATGTTTTAAGAGATATGGCCTAGTGTATTAAATCATTTTATTTTCAGTGGGGAGGTCGTACTGAAAAATATATGGATTATTTTTTTTTATTTATTTTTTTTTTTTCCCCCAATTCAACAATATTTCTCGTTACTATAAATGTTATTTTAATAGGGATATATGTTTGTGGAAATAATATCTACTCGATGAAACTAACATCTACCAGCATAGTCCATTGAACATTTTAACAAGATAATGATCTCAACAAGTAGGCATTAATTTTACTGTAAATAAAACAAGGATGTCTACTCAAATGTATACCTGCAAAAATAAAACATATCTAATCTCAATCATAACTCATGTCCCAACCACCACCACAAATTTCTTTTTCCTGTACAGATATTATTTTTTTTTTAAATAATTATATTTTATGGCTTAATGATATTATTAAAAGAAAAAGTAAATATGCATTTTTCAAAAGAAATAATTCTTACGTGTATTTATGGGACTGGAATTCAATGGCAATAGAAAAACCAAGAATTCCCCTTAGTACATCTTCTTGAACTGAAACACTATAACCAAGTTGATGTTTTGTTCGTAAAATATCAAATAGAGGCTCTTGCATCCGGTTCTGCAAAGGAGGAAAAACAATATGTTGCAATTAAAACTGTAATATTGGAATGAGTATTCAAATGATGATGACAATAAAATTATAATTCTATGGAATTTTTATAATTCATGTAAAGAAAGAGATCTGAACAAATAAATTAAACAGTAACTAATGCATCAATCTTTTATTGTGGATGAATTATGGAGGCAAAACTATATCCATGTAGATGGCTAAAAATGATTTCAGAACAAGAACTTGATACCCTGAAAATAAAGTTCTAGAAGCTCGGACAAGAAACTCTTGACTGCAATCTCAGATATGGAAATATAAAATAGCAAAATAATACCATGTAAGATATCTACTGACAAAATTTTTTTTTACATTCTGACCAAAGTCTTTAATATTACAATAGAGCACCAGAAGCATACATTAAATATACAGTGAAAATTTACTTAAATTACAATACTGAATATGTGCATATGTACAAGATATTGACTACCTACCATAGCACAATGGTTTGCAGATCAAGTCATTAATGTAGTGTGTGTTATAATATACACACAGGCTAAAACTTATTAAACAGTAAAATCTCATAATTTCACTGTTTCTGCATAAAACAATATGTAAAAGCTAGTCACTTTTTTTCTTTACTTTTTTGGGGGCATTGGTTGGTTTTGTCATGCTAAAGCAAACAGACATAAAATTAAGTAAATTCTGCCAGGATTCTGCTGTTTGAATATAAAGTTAAATTAACTTGGATAAAATTGGTTTTCTGTCATGTTAAAGGAAACAAAAAGGTGTAAAGCAAAACTCCATGTCTGTATGTAGGAATCTGTTGCTAGTAATATCACAACTGCTGCTGTCTCAGTCGTAGCACAGAAGTCTTTTTTTTTTTTTTTTTTTTTTTTTTTTAAATAATATTAATGCATAAAACTCATATAAAATTAAAAATTTTGATAACTTTAAAGTTTAGAATCCATCACGGCTTTATTTTTCTTGACTGTTTATGATATAATCTTTTTTAATAAACTTTTCTCATTTTCCATTTTTCTTCAATTAAATCTAAAATTTTCATTGAATTTTTATTACAATCTAATAAAACAACCAATTAATTGAATTGGTCACTTATGTTTCATTAGTGCTTTTTAAAAATAATATTGGAGTGTTAAACTTCTTGAAGTTACTGATTTTTTAAATATCCAGAGAAATGCAAATGAAACAGACAGGAATCATCCCATCATTTTTTTTATATTGGTAATTATTTGAATAAGTTACTTTGAGCATTTTGTTTTGCTTTTCTAATAATGTCAATATGTTAAACTCATTTTAACAAGGCAGCCATTACTAAAAAATTTTAACCATTACTGCTTTGTTACTTGAAAGTACAGAATTTTCATAAGCCTAAAAAAAGTCCTTCCGACATTTTAAATATTCAACAGATAAATGCAAATGAAACAGAAATAATCTCATCCCATTTTTTTTTTTTTTACAAGTATTGCACTGGTTTTATTATAAACTACATATTTCCCAATTGAGGATATATAATCATCATCTGTTATTTCAAATGAAATAACGAATATGGCTCATCTATTCACCTTAAAAGTTTATAACTTATGACTTCTCTACACATTTAACAGATTTCTCAGCACCCCCTCATAAATATACAGAAATAAAGAAAATTTTAAAATATATTGCATATACAAATATTCATTCAACTCAGTAATTTTTTATGTTATATAAAGAAACCTCAAAATCTACTGAACTTGTACACAGTAGTCACCACAAAAAAGGAAACTTGAGACAACAGAGATGTTGTTCTACAGAAAGATGCTGAGAATACTATGGATGGAAAATGTGAGCAACAAAGAAGTTTTAAAGAAAATGGAAACACAAAGGACTCTTAATGGTTAAAATTTCTGGGACACTTAATGAAGACATAGCACTTGGAGAATTGGTCACTGGACATAATGAAGGCAAAAGGTGAAACAATGAGTGATATAGATAATGAGCTTTTATAAATGGATGACAGACTAAGAACTGAGAGGAATGGTAAAAGGACAAACATTGTTTAGAGCTAATAAAAGAGGAAATCTGTGAAGAGCTATGTTCCCCTACATCCTCAAGGGACACAGCACATAAAAAAGAGAAAGGTTGAAAGCTTTAAAACTTTGTACTTACAACAAGCATTTCATTAAGACAGCAAGTGAAGATGCTGCCAGGTTCCACCTGGTAATAGATAAGAGCAGTAGAGTTTGGGCTTTCCTGGTTGAAGCTCTCTACTTGACAGCAAAACTGTCCGCTGGGTATTTTCAACAGACATCTCTGAAATAAAAACAAATTAGCTAAGTTAAATACAAAAGATTGATGAAAGACAGACATTAGTGAAATGATTACCTTGTTGTATCGTGCAATATCTAGTTGTCAAGCAAAATATAGTTGCAATAATAATGGAATTTTACTCGGTTATTAAGCAATATAGTAAAAAAACAGTGATAACAATAAAATGTAGCTTTATTAAGTTCAGCAAAGACAAAGTCCAGTTATCCCAAAGAAACATGCTCAGTTAATACTTCAATGTTCAGACATAAGCAATAATGTTGATTGATAAAAAGTAGTAGTTTAGTATGAGACTAAGAGGTTTTTTATTTTTTGTTGGTTGTATAGGAAAATAGTGCTGACAAAGAGACTAAATTTTTAAAGTTACTAATAACTTTTACAATATAACAAAATCAAAATTTTACTCTAAACTACTAAAACTAAATTTGATTCATTATATTTAAAAACTGGATTCAATAATAATATTTAACCCAATTAAAAGTTCTTAATCATTTTTAGACATCAGATTCCAATAAGTATGAGCAATTTTGAGGAGTAGATATGTTCATCTAGTTCACATTTTTCCCCAGTCTTTTGAACTGGAGTAGAGGTGTATACCTGACTTTATGCTTAGGATTGGGTTTCCGGTTCCATCTAAAGTCTACTTCAACACTGTACTTCTAATGTCTCCATCTAAACACTGAAATTTTATTTACTATTTATTTTTTTTTTTTTCTTTCCTCCAATAGTAGACCGGCCCAGTTCACACTCCTCCCTGGTCTTTTGAACAATACAAGTTTATTACTTGTTTCCTGTTTAGGATTGGGCTTCCAGTTCTTTCTAAAGTCTTCTCATTTTCTTTTACTCCCAGTAGCCCCTTTCATTTTAGTGGCATTATCGCCTTGCTTGGGATCAATTGATTAAAACAAAAAATTCATTTTTTGACATTAAGGACAAAAATAAAATAAATTTACTTCTGGCCATTGGTCTTTAGGATAAACTTCAGCATTGAATTTTTCCACAACATAATCCATAATACCACAAGCATCCTGCAATGGAAAGTGAAAATGTTTAACAACAAAAATAAAACATTCATTGCAAAGATCAGTTCCAGCTAGGCCATTATTAATTTATTCATTTATACATACATACATACATATTTAAATTCATTTAGTTTATTACTGTATAATTAGAACAAAATGGAACTTTATCACTTATCAAAACATTCAAGTTTTTTTTAAATGTGTTGGGCTACCTCCTCCTAATTGCCAAAACTGCTACTAGGAGACGCTTTCCAGGCTATAAATACTTGGTGATATCTTTTCTCACCCTTTTTTTTTCATTTTTTCCGCATATACGTCAACATGTAAATTTCTTGCAGAAGAACACATTCCCTTTTTGGGACACACAGGAACAATGCACACACACACACACACACACATTTCACTTCATTTTTTTTCTAGGACTTTCTCCTACACCAAACTACACATCTGCAAACAATTCACTAGCTTAAATGTTTTCTTCATTCATGCTCAATGTTCAGTAACACACAACAATATTCTATTGTATATGTAACCCTTTATTGTTAATACATTATCATTTGTTTGTACACATATATATTGGTCCTTGTTGTTTCTTTACATTCTTTTTATGTAGACTCATATTCCTAATCTGCCATGTTGGTTGTGGGTATTTCAGAAAACACAAGTGTTTATCTCTCAACAAATGTAAGATTTTACTGGCTACTCAATCAATCAGTGAATTATATCCAATTTTGAAGCCACCTTGATGTTTAGGGGCAAAAACGTTTATTTATCCAAGTAAATATAAACAGTGAACTTATAACAAAAGATTAATGAAATTGCTTTAATTAAAGCCAATCATGACAAACTTTCTTTAAGTTCTTACATACATTTTTATTTTTATATTTTTAAATAAAAAATCTATGTAAGGGCTTGAAGAAAATTACTCATGGCTGCTTTTAATAGATCATTTAGGTTGCTAAATTGATTTTTCTTTGTTATTCCAACATATACAATGTATGAATTTTCTTTCATCAATGTAAGTTTTAATTGTTCATACTTGTAAACAGAAAAGTCTTAGTATATTCATTAATGCATAATATCATATTAGCCAGACATTTTATAGAACATGAAATGATCAGTTTAACATCAGAACAATACGAAAGATTTTACCTTAATAGAAGCATTTCCAATCACAAATCCTTCACAAAATAACTGACAACAGAATTTCTTGAACCAATCTCTCATCATATCGGATGTCATCTCAGGCAATTTGTGATATTTTTCCGGCACAGGAAAATATTCCTGTTCAACCACAGCCAAATGTAAGTTACTTAAAAATAAGAAAAAGAACATGAAAGTTGATTAAAAGGTCTTAATATGAGAGGAAACAACAATTTAAAAATGATATAAAATCACTTTCAGAATTTAGGCTTTCTGAACTCTGATTCATCCATTTAATGAAGTGATGGATTGATTCGTTTTCTACGGCTTATCAACCCATTGCAGGTTATTTAAAGCCTGAAAATATTTTAGATTGTAAGAATTTGTTTTTATTTTGGAGATAATGGTTTAGTGGTAAAGGTCTTACTAATTAACTCATAGATGAAAGAAGAGATGGATTCATACCTTTCTCAAGGGTATTTGCATGAAAAAATGTCAAACATCTTTATAGTCATTTATCAGTGAAAGTGTTAAAATGTAACATCACAATAAGATGAACAAATACATGAATTTCAATGAAACTTCACTTCAGTCATCAAACTAAATTTGAGTTAAAGATAAATCGGTGTTCTATTTATTGTTATTAGCTCAACTTGGAAAACAAATTCGATTTTTATGCATCATAGATATAAAATAGTAGACTAAAGATGAGTCAGGGATTTGGTTGACATATTTAGCTACATTATGCAAAATTTCTGTTTTTTATGTTTATACAAACCAAGCAGTATTGTAGGGTTTAATCATGTGATTGTAATAATCCTTCAGCAGTTGAGATTTGCAGACATCAAACAACTCATCCGAAAATTCAAAAGCAATCATTTCATCAATGATAGTCTTGAACAATTCCTATCCAAAAAAGAGAAAACAATTGTTTCTATGAAGACTTTTTTTTCTGTACAGAAAATAATTAAAATTTTGAATGAGAATAGTTTGTCTTTTTTAAAAAGAAGTCACACTTTGGTGAAAATTTTAATTCTTTAATTCCTAAATTGCATAAAAATACTCTTTAAAATTCTACAAAATAAAACTACAATGTTTGAACCATTATTTTAGTTCTGTCTGTCCTGAAACAATTTTTGTTCCATACTAGATACAAGAAAAGGTATTTATATTCATAAACAACTTCAATTTTAAACAAAGATTTGAGCAGAAAAAATAATAAAATGATGAAAATAAGATGATGTCAATATTTTAAGGAAAATTAGAAAACTAATTTTATATGAAAAGCTAAAGAAGAAAAAAAGGCACATACCGGAATTTTGTCATTAAATCCTTTCACGGAGATAATCATTCCAGTTCTTTTATCTTGTAAAGCATAACTGAAAAAAAAATAATAATAAATGATATATTCATTTGTGTTTATTTAGTACACATAACCTTTTGACATTTTTTAACTCACAAAAGATGAAAAGATGTTAAAAAAACTATTTAATAACCAATTGCACAACTTTACAGGGTTAGCACCATTTTGTTTTTCTCACTTTGCACTGATAAATAAAACAGAAATGAATGTCTCAGTTTTGCAAAGTTCCAAATTTAATATCCATTATTCTTCTGGTTGACTTGTTGTTGAAACATTGATTATTAAATCTTAAAGGATAGACACCAGGAAAGTTATAAATTATATGGTTGTAAAACTCATTGACAAATTAAAAAAAATACATGATTCATGGAAAATCCATGTGTAAGCTGGAGAAAATATTAAAGTTTAATGGTTCACAAAATGAAAAAGATATATTGAGATTTTTCAGTTATTATTATAAATGGTTATATACCAATAAATAGAAAGACTTAATAAAAAATATCTTAGCCATTTTAAATAGTGATGCAGAAGAGTCATTAATATCCAGTCCTACAACAGAATAAGAAAAATATCTTTTACATGACAAACACTAGTTTTAAATTAACTGTTTGTAGTGCATGTAAAAAAAAAAAAAAAAAACTCTCCAAATTGCGCTATTTAAGAAAAAATAGAGTATACAAACCTAAGTCCAGCATCAATGGCATGATATGTGGGTTCAGACAATTTTTGCAGTAAGACATCAATGAACAGTTCAAACAACACAGCGCTAAAAAACAAGAGAGAGAAAATGAAAAATTGTCTGCCACAAAGATTATATTTCATATTAAAAGGAAAAAAGAAGTCTTAGGTTTTGCTAATTAGCTAGAGATTTCCAAGTGATAAATTAAAAAAAAAAAAAAAAAAAAAGGTTTACATGGAAATATTATATATATAATTCACTGGCCAAATGACTAAACATCAGAATTTTTTTTAGAAGTATTTCTTGGTCAGGCAAGACCTTTTCACCACCCCCTCATAAATTTTAATATCCAACAAATATAAACATTTGTCTTTGATGATTTCAAAGTAATAGTATTTTAATTTAACAGATACTGTCAAATCCTACTTGGATTTCTTAGAACATTTTTAAATAAGAATTTGAATTTCTCAACTTATTTTTGAGAAGATATCTAACAGAACACCCACACACATTCAGAAAACAGAACAAGGCCTTTTGTGGGGATTCCATGCATATGTGGGACCAGAGTTAAAAGATAGTCCAATTTTGGTCTGACGCACTTCCCAAAATCTGACCAAGCATCATTAAAAAAAAAAACCCATCCGTTCTTGGTTGGGCCACCATTATCTCAGAGATCTTTACGAAGCTTAGCTTAGTCTGAAAGAGTTACAGAAGTGGAGCTCTTAATTAGACAAATGGTATCTAACTGAAACATGCTAACCATCATATTGTGATAAGGACCCCTCTATGTTTTATATATATATATATATATATATATATATATATATATATATATATATATATTTGCCCCTGGAAAATTTAATTCCAGTCAAGCACTCTGGAGAGAAAGCATGAATTTGTAAACAATGACTACTACTGTTAATAGTGCAAAGCTCTTCCATTAATTGAGCTTTCTTACTCATTGGCATGTTTATTCAAAGAACGTAAAAATTCACCTTCCTCTCCACGAGGTGCTGATAGCTCAGGGGTAAAATCTCTGACTGATGACAAATCAGTTGGGTTTCGATCCTGGCTTGAGGCAATCAGATGTATATCCACACTGAGGAGCTGTGATCCAGCAAAACAGTCTGTCTGTGACATATATATATATATATATATATATATATATATATATATATATATATATATATATATATATTCATTTTCAGATTTTACTGTTAACTTTGGGTATTTTTTTTAAATTTACCACTTTATTTATGCATGTAAAATCTGGCTTAACTGTAACTAATACTTGTCTCACCTTTCAAGTGATTCATTTACTACTGGACTCCTTAGTTTGAAATATATATGTGCTGAAATATAAGAAGAAAATCAATTGCAGTGAAAAAGTCAATAGACATTAAAGTATCATTATGTTTCATACAATAAGTTACAATTTTTTTTTCAGTTTTTAGACTTCAGAGTTATATTTAAATCTTCTATTTTTAACTAAAGCAACTTACATTTGTTTCAGAAAATTGGTTTTTATTATTAAAGCACACAACTGCTTCAAATGATACAATAGAAACCACAAATAGACAAGTGGAAGGATTCATCAATATGTAAAACTGACTGCATATATAAAGATTGATTTTTTTTATTTTATGTAAACAATTAACTGTAATACAAACATATCAAACTATCCCACATAGATACCTAATCAGTTTCTAAATTTAATTTCATTCATTCCCCAAGAATAATAATTCAAAAAATCCATTAAGTTAATTTGTATTTCTTCGTAAAGCCAATAATATATTGTTTAAAATCTGCTATACTTATGGGGGAGGAGTGCTCAATATCAGAAATAGAATATTTGTAAATATACACAGTATGGACATAGGAATCAACTATGCAAGATAAATATCAGTTTCATGCATCAAGCTATCTTCAGACTTCAATAGATACAATGATATACAATGCACCAGATAATTTAGAATGCATAATATTAAAGAAGAAAAAATATATTCAATAAAAAAATAAATCAGTATATTTTCTAAATGATGTGTACACACATTCAATTCAGGAAAACGCAAAATGGTTATTCAATAAAACTCGCCTCTGGTCTCAATGCAGCTTCAGGAGTAATTGCATGTCATATTAATCATCATGTCTATGAGGACAGCCATAAAAGAGTGCCTGGTATTGTGCAGTTGTTGATTGGTCTCCTTTTCAGTGATGCCCTAGATGTAATAGCTCACAGCAATCAAATGATACATACTGGGAAAGGTGGGGGTGACATGATTGTGAAAATTCTTGGACAACTACTTGTGGGTCATGTGATGGGAGGAACATAGCCCTACCAAAACTCATATTGTGATACTATTTGTTGTTGCCATGATAAAATGGAAGAAAGTTTTGTTAAGAAAGTGTTATGTGCTGAAAGACATTGAAACAAGAAGGGTTAATACCAAAAAAACCCATGGGAAGAATTGAGGATTTAATTCACACATAAATGACTTGAATTGTATGTCTAGCAGTTTGAACAATGGAAAAGTGCCCCAGACTTAGGGGCCAATGGTGATTGACATGTGTTCTACACAGCTGAAAATGCAAGCTGTAAAATGAAAATTTCATTTTTCATAAACAATGAATTTGGAGTGGATTCCTCTGGTTGAAAGTTGAGTTGGAATACCAGGAGGGGGTGGATAAGCCACCTATGCTCACTGAGGAGATTTAGTGAGAGGTAATAATATGATAGGACGGAGAGAGGGAATTCCCCAAAGTTATGACATAAGCCAGAAGCGATTCACTGAAATGCTCCTACTTTGCCATAACCCCATGCCAGTTTGGGTGAATGTCCATATATATGAATACAAGAGATGATTTGCAGAGAGAGAAGAGAGGCAGAAGAGACGGAGACAAGACCAGAGACAGGAGAAAGGCCCATGTGATTATCTGCCAATGAAAGCCTCCAATTTCTGCCTTGTACCAAACTTTATCAAAGCAGCAAAATCAACTTTGCCAAGTCAACAACGATAATATTTAGATTCGGCTTGGACTGATAATCAATTGCATGCGAACTCTGATATAACCAATTACTGTATGACAGACAGATATAAAAACAGTATTTACTTTTTGTTCTATTTATTCAAGTTATTTTTTTCCTGTACGTCATCGCCCTGCTTGGACCAACCCAACATGATGATACTTGCGACAATTCGATCTTGGCTGCCTTATGATCACAATGTGGGATAAGGTTAACTCTGGATTGAAGCAGTCACTTCAGTGACCAGCCATGGTGTTGAAAGTCTTAGACAACTGGGAAGGGTGTTGTATGATTACACCTCAATCAAGAGCACCACATCCAGAACCTCAATGTAAAAGATTGCATTGACCCTGAGTTCTTGCAGGAATAAGTAGGGTGGCCTGACATGATGATCATTGCCCACAACACTCAGAATTATCTCAGATGATGTAAACTTGGTATGCATTATCATGAGTACTTCTATAAGGTTTGTGTAGAGGCACCTGTCATTCCTCCTGTTCATCAGGTAACTTTAAAAAGATGATTATCACCAAGTCACTGTGGTTGGTGGATAATTCCACAAGCATAACATGATTTGTTTGTTTTTTTTATTTCATGTGTTAGATTGTAATCTGCCATGTTAATGCCCTCGATACATGAGTAAGAAAAATGGAAATGTTATCATTTAGCACGTGCAGTATAACTTTAATTTATGACCTGTGAAACAAGTGTTCTCAAATACTTGGCATATCATGACTTACCTTTGGGTACATTGAATTTTGTATCCTTTTTGAACCATAGTTTACATTTTTCATTTTCCATAATAATGAATGGATGCTATGGAGGGAAAAAACAAAAGAATGTATTCAAATATAAAGCCAATATGAAGATACCAATCAAATTTCTTAGAATTAAACAAGATTATATCCATCTTAGTGACTATATTACATTTATCAGCCATTTTATCATTCAGTAACATTAATAAGAATGTCCCCTCAGGTAGCTTCTTCCCAAGGACTGTTGCTTAGTGAAAGAGACTCCCAGCAGGATGTTTTCCCCAATCACTACAATCTTCACATCTTCAAGTCTATAGGTAACCATTATCTTTCCTACATAACATCATGAACTTGATTTCTTGAACTCATACAACACCACAAAATAACTTTGAGTAGATCTTTGGCCTTGCATTGGGTAAACGTTAGTATAAAAAAAAACAAAACATGCACAACAAAAATTAAAATTTTTAATCTATATTTACTCTTTAATAGCAGTTTCCAACTCCTTCACCAAAAGAATAAAAAAACTTTGAAAGACTCTTCTCAGTAATAATGAAATACTGATCACTTAACAGGAATTTAAGATTAATATTGATGCAAGTTATGAATTCAAAAGAAATTGATAAAGAAGTTCTGATACAAGACTTGAATAGTTGCAAAGTATTCATCAGCTTTATCTTGTATCCATGAATTTAATTTCTTCTTTGCTGATCACTTCCTTTATGATGATGGCATTGATGACTAAATAGATCAATTCCTGAATGGAAGAACTGACAACATTGACTGTATGGTAGTATTGGTGGTGGAAAAGGTTCATTTTGTTGGGCCTTCCTCTCTTGTTGTCTGACTTCTTCCTCTTTACTTCTGGTGACTTTAAAGTCTTTGATTCCGATGGTGATGGAAAACCGCTAGTTGGTACAGTCTCAGACTTGAGCCTAAATTGTTTGAATCACAAGCCCATGATTGCGCTTCAAATGATTTAGACTCAAGTCCAGTAGCTTTGAGTGTTGTTTTGAGTTGGTCCTTGTATCTTCGATGAGGGCAACTGTGTGGTCTTTTCCCTAAAGTGAGCTCAATGAATGAGACTTGACATGGAAATCTTAACTCTTCCATTTCTGCTACATATTCTGGTAGATGGCATTTGGGGTTGGCTGTGCATAGACCTTGGTTTTCTTGATGTTTACTGTAAGGCCAAAACAATGGTAGGCCATAACAAACTTGTTCACAGACTTTTGGAGTTCTTTTGAATGACAAAGGGCAGCATTGTCATCAGCATATTGAAGCTCTGAAATGTATTGTGTGTGTATGTTAGCCATTTAGATAAAATCTACTAAGGTTGAAAAGTTCTCCATCAAATCAATATCTGAGGTCAGCTCATGGATTGTCTGGAGGAAGTTTGTGAAGCATTTCAGCCAGAATTATAGGTGTCAAGATGCATCCTTGTTTTAGTCCACACGGTGGAAATTCTTCTGACTGCATGTTTTAGTGGAATACACAACCAAACATATTGGTATACATTGCTTGAACCACAGATAAAGTGATTGGGACATCCAAAACAATGAAGAACTTTCCACATAGCAGTTCTTGGAAGACCATCAAAGGCCTTAGTAAAGTCATAGAAAAAAAAAAAGGAAAATGGGTTTTTGTTGTTCCCTGTTCAGTGATTTTCATTGCTCAAAGAAAGTGATGCAAAGTATTAATTTATCTTTAAAAGACTATATTCAGCTGTTTAATTCTTACCAATCACAAGGGAATGGTTCAAATTTGCATGTCTCTAAATTCTAGCAATTTAGTATTTATTTACAGTAATTTTTTCAATATTACATCCCATCTTTGCTATCAAAAATCCAGCATAACTCAAGTGAATTACTTTTCATTTTAAATTGGATACAACTGAAACTTATCAATAGTAAGTAAACAATTATTTATGTTGACTTCAGCCATCAGCTGATTTATCAAGAAAGTTTTTTGTTTATGATTGCCTTTCTTGCATAATTAAGAAAAATATAAAAATAAGATAGTTATTTTACCTTGGATTTTTGTTCTGGAGGAACTTCCTTAAGGCAAAAATCTTTAGCTGAAAATAATCACAATTGAAATAAAATTACTTTAATACATCAAAGTCAAATAATGTGATTATGAGAGATCAACTACAAAATTTCAAAAAGGCAAATATGGTATCATGGTTACAAAAACATTTTTCAGCTTCAGGTAATTTAATCAATTTAGAGTGGTATAATCAATATGATACAATGTGAGGTGTCACACAAACAATTCAGTAAGTTACTAAATTATTTATACAGAAGCCCAAGGTTTTTGTTTATAACTTTTAACAAAGTAAATAGTCTTCTTAAACTTTAATAGAACTTTTATCATTGTTAGATTTTTTTAAAGTTCTATTGCACAACATTTAAAAAGAACCTTCTTGTCTACATTGACATTTTAGACAAATATTAATTGGCAATAAAAGTATATTCCACCATAAAAATAAAAAATGAACACTTCATATTCTTGAAACACACTACATAAAAAAAAAATGTAACCAATACTAAATAAGATTAATTATGAGTATAGCAATGAAGTTTTAAAAAATAAAAGCAATGTTTTGGGATACTGAAATTGTAAAAGAACTGTTTTTCTTACCCTTTTTTTAAATTGTAAGTTTAATATTTTAAAACATTAATAATAAAAAAAATATAAATTAAGTTACCTCCCTTACATATTCGTAACGATAATTTTTAAATTGAGTATAATGAAGCACATTTCAGACGCATTTACAAAAAATTCACAATTACCAATTATATTAATTTTTTGTCAAGCAATTCACTTCTGAAGATGATCATGGATGAGATTGAAAATACTTGGGAAAAACAAAGAAATAAGAAAAACTATGGCATCTTTCTTAATCAGTTTAATAACACTAAGAATTTGAAAGGATTGAAATTAAAATAGACATATGTCTAGATTATTCAACCAAACATGCTTGAATAAAGATATGCTGCATACATATATATATATATGTATATATATATATATATATATAGAAAAAGTTTCAAATTAAAAAATAATAATGTTTTATTTTATGAAAGTATTTATTTATTTATATATATATATTTGATATTTCAAATTGTCCTCAATTTTTCATCAGAAATAACTGTTTGTTACAAATAAATTAAAATTACTGTTTGTTAGCAAGTAGCATCCTTCGCGAGACACGGACGTCACGTGATATGGAACGTCACTGTTCGGATATTCCTAACTTAAATCTAACTGTCATAAATATTTTAAATGTTGTTTAAAAAAATTTTTTTTACTATATCTAAAAAAAAAATTGCTTAACTATTGAAATATTTATAAAGATTTAAAACACCTAAGTCCCTATTCAACCCTAGTTTATGTGTATTTAATTTTAAAATCCAATATGTTTCTTTTTTTCTGCATGTGAATGTGGAAGTAAAATCGGAATCTATCAATAAACATTTGCAGTTTTCTAATGTGTGTCCTGATTGATTGTAGTGTTTAGCTATGGGGAATAAGGGTTGTTTTGACGTATTGTTTGTTTATGGTTATTGAAACGAAATCTAAAATTATTTCCAGACTCACCAATATATCCACTATTAGGACATAAGTTGCAGAATAAATAATAGATTACGTTATGGCTATCATGAGGTGAGGTTAGGTGGCTGTATCTTGATATTGGTGTTGGGTACAGAAAATATATTAGCTATTATTAAATGTTTGCAAACTAAGCAACAGGGTTTCTTACATTTGTAATTTCCTGATTGGTTTCTATTGTTTAGATATTTGGTAGAGGTGAGGATAGCTGATAGGTTAGGTGATTGTTTCTTTGCATTTATGGGTGGTTTATCGAAAATGTCTTTGATCTTGTTGTCTAATTGGAGGTTCTTGTAATCCTTTTTAAATTGTGAATAAGTGTGTGGGAATATTGATTGTGGTTAAAAACCATGGGAATCCAATTGTTGTTTTTTATTTTTTCTTGTATGTGAGAAGTGTGTTACGATTTATCAGGATAGTTTTATTTAGTGTTTCTTTTATTATTTTTATTGGGTATTTGCATTTTAGGAATTGTTTTGTTAAGTTATTAATGTTGTATAGAAAATCTAAATGGTCTGAGCATATCGTTTGATTCTTAGAAATGAGCTGTATACAATAGATTTTTTTTAATTTAAAGGGATGACAGCTGTTAAAGTGCAGGAATTTATGTTGGTTTGTGGGTTTGTTGTATAGACTGGTAGAAAAGTGTATGTTTGTTTGATTTTATCATAACGTCTAAGAAAGGGATGGATGTGTATGAGTGCTCCATGGTAAATTTAATTGTATCGTGGAAATTGTTGCAGAAAGTGAAAAGGTTTTTAATTTTTCTGATCCATGAGTCTATAGTAAGAAAATGTCATCAATATATCTTCAATAAAGTAATGTGATGGTTTATATTCTGAATTGTCTAGTATCTTCTTTTCTAGAATGTGCATAAAGATATTAGCATAACTAGGTGCCATTTTTGTGCCCATTGCTGTGCCACTAATCTGTAAATAGTGTTTGTTGTTGAATTTAAAATTATTATGTGTTAAGATGAAATTTATTAATTGGCATATATATAAGTTAATGGACAGAATTGAATTAGAACAGGAAGCAGTAGTATTAAAGTGCTCAATTGACCGAAATTGCCTGAAGATACCAAAATTAAGAGGTCAGTTGATTCTGCTACTTTGTTTAACCAAAGTAGTAGAATCAACTGACCTCTTAATTTTTTAAACTTATAATTTTTGTGAGTTTGTATTTTCTATAACACAAATTCTCATAATTCTTTTGGTGGTGTAGAAACCACAAATATTCAATGGTGAATAGAATGTAATTTGTTGAGTTTAAAATTCAGGAAGTACTGAATAAGATCAAGAAAATACAAGACAAGTTTTTGATATTTTATAAGTAAAATACAACTATAAAAATTACTTAAAAATTGCAATCATTTTTTTGCTGGCATAAGTAAACTAGTAAGAAATGAAACTACTACAGAATAAAAACTCAAACAGTAAAAGTAGCAAAAAAATCCATTTCATCAGTTGATATTTTTCACAGAATCAGAAGTAAAAACCAAACAGAAAATTAATGGTCTAACAAATTTAGGATTTACAAAGTAAGCACAGCAAAGAGGTCATCTTTTTTTTCAGAAATGGTACTGAATAAAACAATTTATTTTTGTAAATTAGTTAAATATTTTTATAGAAAACTTACCCAGGTATTTGTTTTTATCTGGCAGAAAGAGGTCAGGGTTCATTTCAAGATCTGAAAAATTAAAACAAAATGGTAATGGAATTTCAAAGCATAACCTGGAAATTTTATTACAAAAATAATTGTTGAATGTGAATTTAGATTCCAACTTACTTTGCCATTTGTTAAGCCATTCAGGGTCAAGATCTGAAAAAGAGGAGAAAAACTCATTAATCAAAGTAAAAAAAAAAATACAGTACAACTTTATACTTAACTTTCTTATTTGATTAAACAAACTCATTCTTTGAAGCCAATATATGCCACAGCTGTTTGAGGTTAAATAAAGTCGATTCAGATTTGCTATGGTAAAAATTTTCTATCCCAAGTAAAAATCATCACAAAAATGGCAAAAGTCATTTTGTCACAGCTTATTTTCTCTGAAAAAAATGGATTTTCATACTTTCATAGGGGCAAAATATTGAAAAATGACTGTTTTATCATCATCTAAACAAATATCAAGGAAACTTTTGATCTGAACCCCATGAAACTAGGTATTTTCTGAAAGCAAAGGATATATTCTTTCATTTAAAAGTAAAATTGGCTGGTGTAAATGACTCAAAATTTTTTCAGGGGGTAAAAATGAAAAAAAAAAAAAAAAAAAATTTTGCATTTTTTCTAGTTCTAAACAAAAATTTTGCCCATTAATGGGAAATTAACTATTTTTTTTTGGAAAATCAGAAAGCCTAAATCATAATCAAACAATTTCAGGCATAAAATTCAGAGTTTTGAAGGAAATCAACATTCCTAGGGGGTCAAAATGCAACAAAGTCCATTGGTAATTTTCAATTATATAACTGTCAGGGATTAAAAAAATTGACACCCGGCCACGGAAATCTTTAGTAAAAAGCGAAAGATTTATCTGCAATTCTTAACCACCAGAAACCAAAAGTTTTTTATCTTTTCTAAAAAAAATAGCAGCAATAAGGAAAATTAAACCAAATTGTTTTTGACATCTCTGGGACAAAGGTCAGCCAGCCAGCAATAAACATTTAGAACAAGTTCTAATAAAACCCACCACTCCCAGATAAGAGCAAAGAGTGAAAAAAAAGGGGTCAACATTAGTAGGGCTTGATATAACCTATGTTTGAACAATGGCTTGATGTGTTTTGTTTTGTTTTTAACACCCCGTGACCCAGGTGATGACAACAACACTTAGCAGACATTGTTTTTCTCGTCGCATATCTTTCATATTTCCCATTGCCAGGCCATTTAGCTGTTCCTTTTATTCAATGATGTTCATGCCAAATGAAAGAGAAAGGAGTGAGGTTTGAATGATATTATTTTGAAGCGAAAATAAATATTTTTTCATAAAAAAATGGTGATTTTTCTCAGAAAATAGGGCATAATTTCTTAATGCTAACCATTGAGTGACATTTTCCACAGCCAAATCAAAGATTAATTACCAGTGAATAATTCCATGTGCAAACAATAGCCATCTGGATCCTATAATGTTGCCTGAAAAGGTCCAGAAGTTTACTGATTGATTGAAAACTTGTTGCGCATAATTGTGTTTTTCACGGCCAGTTTCCATTATTTCATCTTGATGTTGTCATTTTCAGACAGCCAAGTCATCAAGGATTCAGGAAAACAATTTGGCATAGGTTTGCTTTAAGAACTTTACATTCTATGAGGTGTTTAAAATGTTACTGATGAATGAGATTTTTCACCGAATATTTCGTTTATGCGCCATGTTGGATTCTCATATATGACAGAAACAAGGCTTTTAAACAGCTGTGATGCTGGTTATCAGAGAATTTTTTCTTTCTTCAAAAACGAAATCTTCAGTAAACCATCTATCTCCATATTTTCTCATTGCATGAGAATTACTGTGACATTGAACTAAAAATCAGAATCTTTCATTTCCCAGATGAAACTGTACATTTTTAATCAGATATCAACTAGAGAAAAAAATCAATCCAAATAAAAAACATGAAGAACTTGGTTTATGACATTCTGCAAAGCAGAAATTCAAATATTCATACTTCTACTTGAACATTTCTTACCTGTTACACAGTATTTTGTTCCATACCATTTCTCTTCTTCAGTGCAAAGGTGGGAATCTTTCTTTGTTAGCAGAATCACATTTGTTTTCTCTGGCTTCATATGGTTCATGCAATTCTGAATTAGCTAATAAAAGAATGGAAATTTTTTATTTTTTTAACTTTCCTTTATTTTACAATTGGCATCAAATAAAATATATACTTTCTTTTAATTCATGACTCATAATTTTATGGCATGCAAGAAACCTATTTTATTTTATTCTCAAAAAAATATCCTAGGTCTTATAATGCAAAGTTCAGGTATCTGGCAGGCTAATGTTGACCCAGATACTACAGACAACCAATATGTGTACCTTGGCTAATTCCATATGTAACTGGCAAAATGTTATGTGCCATCAAATCTTAAAAGCCCAGAATCAATACAAATAAAATCTGAACAGAATTCAATATTTGCTAACTTCATCTTTGTTCACTTTCACACTTTTTAGTTGATCTGTTCATTCTTTGCCTAAAAGAAATGGATACCTATAAACAAAACAAGAGCACTAAGGCAAAATAAGGGATTAAAACAATAGACCTTTATGAATTAAACAAAACAGTCTTGTCTGAAAGTCACCAGAAAGATAATGGATGCAAATTTTACATAATCAAAGCTGAAAATTGACCAGTCATAAATTGTCTATCAAATAACAAAGATGAAAATAGTAGTTCAAATGAATATCTAATCTCAGAATCTTTAAACTAAATATCTGCAGAATCCTGTGTGGAACATATAACTTTTTCTAATGTTGAAAGAGTTGGGGTGAAAAGCTTGTCACAAATTTGAAATCAAGAGCAAACAAAGAAGCAAAATAAAAATGCCGCAAGACAGAAACTTTCATTTTACTACAAGATAGCATACTTTTGTTTACTTATATTCATAACACATCTGAAGTCAATATTTGAATGTAACAATAGTATGCTTTTCTTTATTACGGTTGTTCATTTATAATTCTACATCTTATCAAAGTTTTTACTTGTCACTATACAGGATATTGATTCCACAAATAATATCCATTTAAAAAAAAAGATGTTTTAATTGAATCATCCATTACAGTATTTATAGCTTTGCTCTCAAATATAGGATAGTTGTCTATTACAAGATAAGTGAGACTCATTAATCCATGTTCATTTTAACAAATAAAATTAGAGTTTAAAAAAAAGTTAACTTTCTTAATAGGTAGTTTAGTACATGAAAAAAAAAAAAAAAAAAAACTAAGATAAATATTTATATCATTTCACATCCAAATTCTTTTCTTTTACATCCTTAAAATATTCACTAGGCAGCTAAAATTTGCATATTTTTTAGTCAATATAAAATCCTATGAAACTGTAGTTACTATTATGTTATGAAAATAAATTGTTTATACTTACATCTGCATCGTATTCAAAATAGAGACAGTCTCCAGTAAGGTAATCTTCTTCAGCATACAATTGCATATTTTCGCTCAAACGTTGCACATAATCAATTGGTGAACCCTGTACAGTAAGAAAAATAAATCTAAAAATATATTTCTCAGGCTTGTTATTTGGTGCAAATTCTGAGCTACTATTACAGACAATGATAGACAGCCAGTGGCAAAATATGAATAAACTATTTTGGAATATAAGCATATAAATGTAATTAGTGAATGGGGTTTTTGAATAAGGCTTTCTTTTTGGCCTTTTTAAAAACCGAATAAAAGCAGGGATTATCAGTCCATGTCACAAAGAACTGGTATAGATATAGAGATAAGAAAAGAATAAAAAAAAAAACAGTTAAATTTAAATACATAAAATAAAAATAAGGAATAGTAGATAGTAAGATATGGGCACACACACACACACATATATATACACACACACACACACACAGTAAGTAAAGGAAAATTAAAATTTACTTTTTCTTGCCATCTGAATTTGCTCTCTTCAATTGCTTGCTCTTCATCAAAAATGTATCTTTGGGGACCAGCCTTTTGCAACATCTGTACATACTGGAAAACAACTGTCAAAACCTACAAAAACAAAAGCAAAGAAAGCTGTACTTTTTCCTTCAGCTGTTGTTGGAAGGTTTCCTAAAAAGAAGCTACACAGACGCACCCACCTCATAGACATGATCCACTCCAGAATCAGTCAGAATGATGTCAATGTAAAAGCAGGACCAGGCAGAGTTGAATTCAAATCCATTTGCATCATTTCCACCTTCAATTTGCAGAGCCCACATACTGCGTAATAAGTAATGTTTAGTGGCTTAGTAAAACAAGATTCACTTACATTAATATTGTAATCGTTCACATTATTTTAAAATAATAAATGTATGTGTGTGTGTGTGTGTGTGTGTGTGTGTGTGTGTGGACAAGGGGATGCTGAAAAATTCTCAACCTAACCCAGTTCCTAAAATTCAGTATTCTAAAACATAGTCATTGATATGGAATTTGTTTAATGGGTCAAGGCCAAGAACTCAGTTACTAAAATACATAGATTAATTTAAACCTTAATTTTTTAAAAATATTTTGTATGCTTTGCTTAGCTTAGAATAAAACATTGCTCAACACATCATCAGTTACTGGGCCTCCCCTAGGCCAGAGATCACTGTCATTGGACCATGGAAGACTGGCACTGTGTAATCTGGTCAAAGGCGTCACATTTCCATGTATGATGGGAGACTTTGAGGATACAGTTCCAGCTGGTCAGCATGATACTTTTCAAGCTAGTAGCAGTTATGTAATGGTGAGAGTTGCATTCTCTTGGTGTTCGCAAGGACCACTAGTTAAACTAGTCTTTCTTGACAGAAATGAAATATGCTCCTCTTGTTGCAAAATATTTGTACCTCTTTATATTTGCTATGTTTCCTGGTGGCTATAGTTTCTTCGAATAAAATAACACAACCTCCTAGAAAAAGTTAGTAGCATTCTTTATTGGAAACTAAATTCTGAATACACAAAGTAAGTTTATGTAAAAAAAAAAAAAAAAATTAAAAAAAATGCAATAAACTTTTGCATACACCTAATACTATCCTATATAAATTATTTCTAATTCCGCAAAAGACACAAAGAATAATTGCTATCAAAATAATGTATTGGTAATTCCCATTTTTTGACAATAAGCAGAGTGTAAAAATTACAAAACTTCAAACTTACTGTTTCTTTAAAGAAGACAATATGCTCCCAGGCCCTTCATGTAGAAATAGAGTAGAAAGATAATCCAATGGCTTCGCTCTGAAATTCATATAAAATCATCTTAAACATCTTCATATACATCATATTATACACTAAAATTACAAAGATTAATTTGTGAAAACCTTTATAATTTTGTGCTACATTTAAAATACAAGCTTAGCTTATTGCATTTTCTTTTTTAATACAAGTACAAAAAAATATTTGTAATACCTTTAGTGAGACAATCTAAATGAATGAGGAGAAGCAAAACTTACAGTAAAATTCAAGCTAAAATTTCCCACTACTCATCACATCAAATGAAATGAAATGCTGGACAAAGAATAGTGTCAGCAATTGATGTGCATCTATTTTTTAGGAACAACATGGAAAATGACTTCACAGAAGAGCAAACAGCAAAGAATTTTAGAATTGTTTTGTGCACAAATCAACCCTAAAAGTATCCCAACCAAGTTTTTGAGCACTGACTACAATGTCAAGAAGATAATAGACATGGGTAGCGATATACAGATGTAGTTAGTAATGGGTTCAACAAGAAACATGACCAGGACTTTATTAATAACCTCAAGACCAAAAACTGCAAAGAACCTAACAACATCCAAGAATAAAATATTTACTGACCCAAGAGTGACCTCAAAGTCCATCAAAACAGCTGTGCTTTAAATCAGACACCAGGATGCCAAAATACTTCTGCACGAAGTCTATGAATGCTAGTAGACTAGTTAGGTACAAGAAAGTGTTCAAGTCCCTCAACAATCATATATCAACCAAAATATTCTCTGATGAGAAAATCTTCATGGTAGACGCTGTTTTGAATCACCAGAATGACCGTATGTAATAAACGTCAAGGGGAACCTTCAGAACTAAACATCCAACCAAGATCATGGTTTTGGGTGTCGTGTTTGCCAACAGGAAAAAATAATCCTATTACTCTTCTAAAAACTTTTAGTAAAGATGGATACTGATGTCTAGTACAAGATCCTGAGGTTCTAAGTTTTGCCATGGCTCACCATGTGAGGGTGACTATGTATAGACCCAGGATGGTGCTCCCGGCCACACAACCAAGAAGATGCCCAAGTTCTGCTGGCCCTCCATAACTGAACCAACAAGATCACACATCTCAATACTCTCAAAGTTGCCATGAAAAGTAAATAAGGGAAGATATCCAAGGATGACATGGTTAAGAGTTGCACAACTTTGCAAGGGTGCGTTGAGACTGTAATTGAAAATAATGAAAGTCATGCCAAATACATTTTTTTCTTTGAAGATAATCAGTTTTATTAATATCCTTTTGTATCTATACACATAATTATGCATAAATGAGTTTTGAAGGTCACATAAATTTTGCAAGTTTTAAGTTTTCACCCTATGCGTCAGCATAAATATCATCATTTAAAGACTTTTCTTCTTTTTCAAACTTTTTAAAGTTGTGTTGATAGATTCACTAATGCTAAAATCCAATACACTAGATAAATGGAAGTAAAATAGATATAGATTTTAGAAAATATGCTACAAGTGATAATAACTTGTATGAAATTCACTTAAATAACATCATATGAAAAGGTCCAGAGAACATGCAAAAGTGAAGGTCATGCTAACAAAACAATGACGAGACTAATAAATACACAAGTGCCAATAAAAAGCTTTCTTCATAAGTATCAAACTATATCAAACAGGTTAATGTATTGTTTTCAAAAAATAGCAATTGGTTCTTGAAACTGATCCTTCCTAAGGATATTATTCAAAATAATTTCCTAAATATAAATGCTACCTCATATAGATAAAAGACAGTTGTGTATACATGCTTACCGATAATGTTTCAGAAGTGGTGGGAGAGCCCAGTTGAGAGATAGTTTGTGAGTTTCCTTAACTGGAACAACTGAAAAAGAAATTTTCAAACTTTTTAGCATTTATTTTTCAGTGCATCCCTTAATGATTTCTACATCAATGTTAGATGATATGAAAAAATATTTCTGATAGTTGATAAATCATTTTGAATAGGTTTTTTGTGCTACATTTGAAATACAAGCTTACCTTATTACATTTTTTTAATACAAATACAAAAAGAAAATATATTTTTATTACCTTTAGTGAGACAATCTAAATGAATCATGTTTACAAGAAGCAAAACTTATAGTAAATATTTTTTCCCCATTTTTTCCTAACTGAAAAACATCAACATTTATATAATGTTTTGAAATATTTAATTTCCATTGATATTGCTTTTGTACATCAAGTACTCAAAATTTTTTTTATGAACCTGAAAGGATTTGACTGAAATATAAAACGAAACTGAATACAAAGTTTAATAAAGAGAGAAATCCCATCTTCACTAATTATGTATTTATCAACTAGTAATCAATAATACTGATTATTACCATCAATTGTTTTATTTCTTTGTAGTTGTGATGTTTAGAATCATCTTGTAAACAAGAATTCAAAGGCATGATGAATCTATTGAACAATTTCATAAATTATCCAAATATTTTTCACTTTTTATTGTATTGAAAAAACAATGGAGTCATTCCATAGCATATCAACCATACATCTCCAATTTTTATAAATGTGCTGACAGTCAACTTTGATCTATCAAATGCTTATTACCAATGGTAAAAAATGAAGACAGTATCTCTAACAAATGAACTGGAATTTCAGTGCTAATTATTTCATTGATGCTTTTGTTTACAAAATATGATGCATATTTGGATTTAAGTTAATGAAACAATCAGCACATAGCAAAAATTATTTCTTCAGAGACATACTTTCTAGTGTGTTAAAATTCACAAAGAAAATTTACCTCGGTAGATTCTGGCAAATTCTGGAGTGTCAAAAGGATTCTAGGAAAGACGAAAAATAAAATCTATTGAATTATTGGAGTTATGATTACCATTCAGCTTAGAACATTTAACAAAATCACAAAAAGGACAGAGGATTATAAATAAACAATCTAGAATTACTTCATAGTTTTGGTAAGTCTTTTCTTCACACATTGTAATCAAATGATATATGAATGAAAAAGTCAAGACCAATCATTTAGAAATGGCATAACCAATTTATGACTAAAAAGGAATTTGACATTAGCTCAGAATTGGAATAATAATCAATATTGTTTGAATGGTTTTCATTTAAAAAAACTGTTTTGTAATACTAACTAGTTGTAACATTTTTTTTTAACACATCATCAGCTTTAGAAAGTTCAGCAATAATATTTGAATTTATAAATGAAAAACTGTATAATCCAAGAGTGAGTTCTATAATCAATAAATACATTATTTTTTATTAACTATATACAATTGACTTTACAGTAATATTAATAAATATGAAATTAATCAGCTGATGTCAAATACTGCAATAACAAATTATCAGGACATGTTCTTTAAAATGTTCCATAGATTTATAAACATCTTAATAATGCAGTATAATTATTGGAATCATTAATAAGCTACACAAAATGAAGCAATTACAGAAGTTTAAATATCTGGGAAGTGTTTTAACAAACAACAGAAAATGTGACAATAAAATTAAAAGGTGCATTGGAATAACAAAAGATGCTTTCCAAAAGATAAACAAAGAAAAAGTGCTGAACTGCTATGTAATAGCCATCCTCCTAGAGGGCAGTGAATACTGGGCAATTTCCTCACAGGTGAAGAGAGAAGACTTGAGGCAACAGAGATGTGGTTCTACAGAAAAATGCTGAAAATACCATGGATGAAACATGTGAGCAATGATTAAGTTTTAAGGACAATGAAAACAAAAAGAACACTTGTACTTAGAAAGGGACAGCTGAAATTTCTGGGACACAAGGCTTGAAGAGTTTGACATTCACAAGACATATTGAAAACAGGGGTGGGGGCAGAATAAAACAATGAATAACCTATCTAACAAGCTTATACACATGGATGACACAACAGAGAGTGGGATAGATAGACATTGTTAAGATCTACAAAATATAGGAAGTTGTAGAAAACCATTATCACTCATGCTCTGAAGAGACACAATACATAAAAGGAGCTACACAGGCAATATTTTTCATATTTTTGCAATGGTTACAAGAATTGTAACTAAAGTGTCCAACTAAACAAATTCTTATATAACATATATTTTGATAAATTCATCAGCTTAAATTCTAGGATCTTAGCAGCAAGCCCAAACACAAATTGTAAAGTAACAATTTTGTTACTGACCCAATAATACTAATAAGTTTCAGAAATGAGAATCATTAACTCTTTACTAATCATGAAATGTAGATATAAACTGATGCTTAAATTTATTTAACAATTCTTTATGCAAAAATATAAGACTTCATAGATGCAGTGTTCCAAATAGAGAATATTAATAGAATATAGAAGAGATTTTTGTGAATTTTGCAATAGATGATGTACATAAAGTTAGAGGAAGTGCAGTTACCAGCAGAGAGAAGGTAATTGACAGAGTTTGAATTACAGCTGGGACTATTCATGTTCACTTCACACTCATGCCCTTAGGAAAGGCACAAATCCACTTCTCCTTCCAGCTATGGGTAAATAGTAAAGTAATTGGAACCCTTTAATTCTATCAGGCAGTCCCATCTTGAATGACAGGCTAGCAACCCCAGCCCGATATGTCACTGAAAATGTAGCAGCCCTCCCCATACTACACAGGAAATCAACAAAAATAAACATCATGTAGTCACCAATATACTGACAGAAAAATAAATTGCAACATTCTGAATTTGTGTTTTAATGATCACATACATACATAGCTGTGTTTTTTGATGAGGCAGGACTGAGATTAATCTCACACAAATCAAGGTGGGTAAAGATGCTCTTCCTGACACCCAACTCAGACACTCACAGTTGTTCAAGTACGCCCAGTGTTTTTTTTCTTATATATATATATTCAGCTGGTGAGGAGGGTGGCATATAACCCCACAAGATGAAAAACAAAACCTCTCAAAGGGCAGATGAGTTTCTTATAGGAACCAATGACCAGCATATATATATATATTAGTTTTTCATCTTGTGGGGTAATATGCCACACTCCTTACCAGCAGAAAAGCTAGTGGAGGAGCTGGTTTAGATGCCAACCACCCATCCATGCAGTAGATTGTACTGGGTCATGTTACCAGTAGCAGACCTAAGCCTGAGCTTGTGCTGTACCATTCATACAATCATACAGATGGCAAATACCATCCTCTGATACATTATTCCATGTCTCTTTCACTTGTTGGTTCAATGCAACAAGAGTTGTAGTTGAGTTAAATGTTCCAGGTATAATCAGTTTTCACTAATCTATAATCCATTTCCAATGCTAAACTTAATGACAATATTTATTTTTGTAATACAACAAAGAATATGGTGCATAAACATTGGATGGAAGGGAAAGTGTTGGTTTTCAATCTCCCAAATGATACTCTCACAATATTACTGGAGATGTGTACAACAGTGTTTTGGTATAAATAGAAGTCTAGGTAGTGGTACATATACTCATAGTTCTATTGCAAGTGAATGATTCTCAGTAATCATTGTTGACATTCCTGAAACCACAGCTGTTCTGATCTGTGCTATGGATGACATATAGTCTACTGCTGCTTCTCTTATAATGTGTTGATCTTAGTGACATGGCCATGCAGAATCTGGTCTACAAGTTTAGGAATATTTATTTTTCCACTGTTGCCAACATCGAATCACCAGCAATGCACCATGGTCTCTTTCACCACACTGAATTTTACTGCAGAATGTGTCAAATGTCTAAAACTGAAGCAAGATGGTACACTGGTATGAGTGTTACTATGTCATAAAATGGCCAAAGACTTTGCAAATTTTATTAGAATATCTACTAACCTCTAACATGCAGATATCTACCCGGATCAAAATCAACATCGTTTCTAAGGGTTTTGAAGTTTTATTTTATTTGTCAACATATTTTGAATGAGTCAACGATTTGTTTTTTATAACTAAAAATCCTTAAAAATTTGAAAAGTAATTAATGAAAAGAAAAAGATGCTAACTCACAGGGTCATGATCAAATGTAGGTTTTGTACAATTGCTGGAAAAAAACAAAAAAAAAAACATGAATTTATGAATAGAAAGATAAATTAGAAAATATATCACAAAATATTTTTAATTACTATTAATAACAAAAATATATCACAATCTACAGCAGTCACATAATTTCACGATTTACAATTCAATGATTCTGGTATTATGGCCATGCACTGTTAAGTAGATTCTCATAATCTTTAATTACACACACTTTTCTTATGACCAAAGTTGTTAGAAACCTCATTGGTATATCCCAACTACTACACTTTATCCAAGAGTGACTATAAAATTTGTAAAGCAGTATTTCACATACATCTCTTTCATTTCAAATTGGTATTGAAAAAGTACGCTTATTGTTCTAACTTAGGGAAGGTTACTGAACAGAATAATCACACGAAGGTTGGTAATGAACAATAATACTTAGAACAAGAACAACATATATAAGATTTGCCAGTGGCACATAGAAGTAGTCAACTGCTAGAAGTGAATCAAGTGAATTCCATAATGAAACCAAAAGACAGTATTTAATACTGTATTTATGTGAATGGGGATATACCCATTATCATCCATAGGTATGTGACAACACTTATAATTACAACTTTTTGGTGAAGTCATAACATAAAGCATAAAAATAATAATCATGTGACACGAATATGTCATAAATCATTAAACATAGAAAAAAAAAAAAAAAAAAAAAAAAAAAAGAGGAAATTATGTGTTGCTGAACAAAAACCTCTAAATATTTACTTATTCCAGCAAATTTCAATAAGTATTTGACCCTATCAATTCATGCATTCCAAGTCATAAATATGCAGTGCATTTATATAGAGGTACAGGGATTAAAACAAACTTTAAGAAAATGATTTGAACTTCAAAAATCAAATATATAACAAAAAGAAATAATATAAACTTACTTATTTGGAATTTTAGCAAATATTTCACGGACCCATTTCTCCAAAATGTCAAGAGATTCTGTAAAAAGGAAAAAAGCAAAAATATAAATACATTGATAAACTTTTGCAAGCAAAATCATTTTTATATGTTATATTCTATGTTTTACATGTTATATTCTATTCGAGATTCAATTGTTACGAAACTTAAAAAAAAAAAAAAAAACAGCATCAAAGAATAAATTATCAGTCAAGCTTTTTAAGATTTTTTATGCTCTGATAAATGTACACTTTTCTAACAAACAAAAGTCAAATATCCTGAAAGAAATATTCAAATTTGAAAACCTAAACAGAGCAACTGCTTCACAATGATAATCAATCTGATTTTCCACTCAACAGGGACATAAAATTGGTCAGCATCACCAGATTACAACTGACTGAATAAACCATTATTCTCTTTATTGAAATAGATTATAACATCTGTCTAATTATATTTTAAATTATATTCCAGCTGAAAATTGTGGCACCAAGGTTTCTTCCTGAAAGCTACCATCAAAGTTTTTGTGCCAGCATGGAAATACCAAGTGAAACCACACTCTTCTAAGCTCACTCCTCCCTGTTCAGCATCTATAACCCAAAGGAATCACTTCTTTATTGTTCGTTAATAGAATGAGACACTGTATTGTCAACTACTCCTGATAAAGCAAAATGCTTTGCTCAGAAATTCTTTTCAAACTCCACTCTTGACTCATTAGGCGTATCTTTGCCTGATTTTCCACCTAGAACAGAATCTCTACAGAGTGATGTGCATATAACTCTCTTCATGTTTTCTGCTATCATCTTCAAAGAGCATCTGAACTTGACACTATCCGTGAAATTGTCCTAAGGAAATGTGCTCTTGAGCTAGTTCCTGCTCTCTACAAACTCTATAACATGTCATGCTGCTTTTTGCTTTCCATCTCTTCTGTAGGTCTTGTGAACATTCCAATTCCTCAAATTTTCATTCTGTTAGCCTTTTACCTTTAAACAACTCTGAATTGATTAAGTATCTCACTTCCATATTCTTTATCTGAAAAAAAGATAAAGAATATGGCTTTCATTTTTCTAGGTTAACCACCAATATGTTAATGGTTGTTACTGAATTTATATATCAAGCTTTAAATAAGAACAGCAAGGCTTGGGCTGTGGCTTTAGATATCTTAAAGGCATTTGACAGGGTTTGGCATACTGGCCTTCATGAGTTCAAGGAATAAACCTAGGAGAAGCTGTCTCTGGCCTAATATTAGACAATCCAATCACTCTTAACAAATCATGTAATGAAAGTTATGTTGAGCAGCCATGCTTCTAGATCATTTCACATTAATGTGGTGGTCTCCCAGGGATCATCCTTAGACATATGTTGTTTATCTTCAACAATTTTCCTGATGTCAGTTCCAAATTTATAATTTTTTTTATTTAAATATCTTTGTTGATATGTTTATTTTACTTACTAAAAGCAATAAAAATTTGTTATTACAAAATATTTCAAAGTTCACATCTAATATTTTCTACTGGATTATTTACAACAAATGAAATAAACCCCAAACTTTCAATGAAAACAATATTAACATCACTGATAGAACACCCTAGCACATCTTTGCAATGAATATATCAAGTGATGAGCACTCACCTCTTGACTGAACCACAAGTGTCATATAATGAGCTGAATACATTTGTTTGTGAAATTCTTTTAGCCTGCTGTAAACATCAATCCTATTCTTGACAGGGTTTGTTTTCAGTGAAATCATGTTCCCTAAAAAAGAGAATAAGTAAACATTTCAATGAAAATAAGATCCAAATTTACAGCTATATAAGGCATTTATTAATCAGTAAATATTTCAGTGAAAATAAGATCCAGTTTTACATCAATAATACAGGGCATTTATTACATTGAAGTAAATATTTCAATGAAAATACTGAAACCAAGATAAACTGATAATAAATAAATTGATTAATAGACACCTAAGCATGTAACTTCCAATGAGATTGAATAAAATATCAAGTTAACCATCATAAACCTTCCAAATATTTCATAGTCTTCTTCCTTTTTCTTCATACCAAAGACTTCTAACAATGCAGGGCCTCAATTCTACAGGTAACATAATTCATACATTTAAGATAATTTCTATCAGTACTTTATTTTGTTACAGCTGTAATATTAATTTATATCTGATAATATTATAAAGTTATTATTTTGGCTGATAATTTATCATTAATTTCACTGTAAAATTAATTCCTTTTAATTATTTACATATGAATCCTGACTTTATATGAATGGCTGCTGCTAAGTCAAACTTTTTTTTTTATTTGTTAATCAGAATTTAAACTTTCAAGCAATTGTTGTGTATTACCTTCAATGAAATTGCTGATGGGATGTCCAGTCTTACACATATTGGCCAATAAAGAAACTGTACGATTATCGTCATCTGTTAAGCCTTCTTCAAATTCTACAAGAAAATGTTATAGAAATAAGCTTAAGGTAATCCAAATAGCACATTTCCAAAGTTGAGTATTAAAAAGAAAATGGAAATATTGCAATATATACCGATGATATCATGAATCCACAAGGAACAAACAATGTATAACTTAGTAAGAAGTCTATGATATTGCATCTACCAAAATTTAACTGTTTTTTAACTACTTCTAAATAGGCTGTTACAAATGGTGGAGACAGAGCAAGAAATGCAATGTCCCACAGATTCTCCTTCTAGATAGTTCATGTCTTACTAACAACCAAGAATTTAGCAGATATTAAGTTTAAATATTAATCTAGATTTTCATTTTCAAAATAGTGATAAGGAGGCAAAGGGTTACATTTAAATCAACCTACCGCTATCAACAGCTTTCAACTCTCGATCAACACTGTCCCTTCTCATCAAAGGACTAATAAAAAATTGAGCAAATATGTCCAAAGATTTTTCAAAGTATTTGCGCTGAACATTGAAGTAAAATACCGTCTGCAAGAGAAGTTGAAGAACCATGAATAGTCTGAGAAAAAGATAATTTTTATTTTCTTAAAATGTAAAATACAATGAAAATGAATCAATGGATTTAGAGTTGTGCATAGTGACAATCAGAAAATTGCTTTTGTCTAATTACTACATAAATATAAACAGTTAAAAAAAATCCCATAAAGAACAAAATATTTACAGCTTCATAATCAGTCCATGCATTGGAATAGCCGCCATGTCGAGCAAGATAATCATCAAGTTCATTCTCCTTAGGATATTTTTTACTTCCCATGAACACCACTGAATTAAAACAAGAAAATTATCAAATTAGTAATCAAAAGACAATTGCAAATTAACAAGAATACCAAAATAAGCAAGTAAACAAAATCTTACAAAATTATCACATCTACTCATCATCAAAAATATCATTGTTCTTATTTTTATGTCAAGAAGAAAATCTTTGAGGGCCTTGGAAATATCATTTCTTTAGAAAATTCTCTTTTTTCATTTGTACATTGAAATCTTGAAAAGATTTTTTTTCATTAAAATATAACAAAAAAAAAAACTTAAGAGGGTGCTGAAAAGTTATCACCCAAGCCACTTTGCAACATCTGAAAAATGGCCAAGCATCAGAATTTTTTTTAGAATTCCTTCTTAGTCAAATTAACCTTTAGCACTATACATAATTAATATTACTTCTCTTTCCATTGCATTCTTTTTCAAGGCCTCTCTATTACAGTAACCTTATTGTTAATTTCACTCAAAGTTGTATTTTGTTGACATAGCAAGATATAACTATGAAACTCAAACACACTATTGTTCAAGGATCAGAGTCATCTTCAGTGGCAGGATAAATATTTTTTACAGAAAATGAAAGTCACATACAGCATGATAAAGGTTAAACATTTTTTCAACATTCCCTCATATAATGCAAAAATAGATTAATCTGATGTACAGAATTGTATCAAGTGGAGTAAATTGAGCTGCTGTCAGGTTTCTGGCCCAATTAATTGTAACATCATTGTGTGAGATTTTCTTTTTTAAATATCATAGTGATTTTGCATATAATTTAGTAAGTTTACAATTTATTTTTTCATAAAAGAAAATAACATCCTTGAAAATAAACTGAATTAGTACTTGACTGATATCATTTTAAATTTTGAAAAACATTTACAATCTTTCTGAAAGGTAAAAACATAGAAAATACGTACTATGTTCTAGGAAATGAGATAAGCCCTGGATGTCAGGAGGGTCGCACATGCCTCCGACCCCAATGCAAAGAGCAGCAGCAGCCTGGGAAAAAGCAACACAGAAATATTCAATATTTATTATTTACTAATCAGCAAAATGATTTCTGTTTAAATTTCTGAGATGAGGAGTTATCATTATTTATACCATTTACATTCAAACTATTGTCCTCATCTTTGTTGTTGTTGTTAACAACATCAAAGATGAGGAAGAGAACAATAGTCTGAATGTAAATAGTGTAAAAAAAAAAAAAAAAAAAAAAAAAACAAGAAATTTTATCCCAGAAAAAGTCATTAACAGCATGCAGTAACATGCAGAGGTTTGGTGATACCAGTGCCAACTCCTTGATTGTACCCCCACCCAGACTCAAGTGTGTGGGGGGGGGGGCTATAGGCCCTAGTACTGGGAAATGTGAGAAAGGAAGATATTTTAAATATGTAAAAACTGATGACACATAAAAAACACTTTGTTCAAATTAAATATAAACTAAATTTTTATTTTACTCTTTGATCGGATGCTCTTCTGATATGGATGCCTGGGTTCGTTGCACCCTCTCCACCCCACCTCTACATGCTACTGATGACTTGGCTAGTTATTTGAAAATTGAAAACAAAAACCTAAACTTTTTCATGGTCTAAGTTCCAGATCTCTCTTTTTAAAGAAATACATTTTGCATGCATGTTCAATAAAGGGACTCAACGTTTTTTTTAAATAAACAAAAATTATGTTTGCACTGACTGTTATGCCTTCTGACATGTCCGTACATGATGTAGGGTAATCAAAGCTCACAACTTCTTGTTTTTGTTACTCTAAGTAACTTCTAACTCTTTACTACTCCTCTTTTTCCTTCATTTACAAACTCACTATTTCCATTTACTTCTCTTTCCTTCAATGTCCTGTGAGTGTTAAATTCTCCAGGCCTTTTTCCTCATTATGAGAAATTTCAACTGACTATAACTTTTATGGTAGTTCTTACATCCCAAGTAATCATGGTAATAACTGACCAAAGTTGTTGACATTTTAAGTTGATAAAACAGAACTCATTTTTCATTTTCATTAAGTTTGTTTATTTCTGCCCATTAAAAATATCTATCTTTAGGTAAAAATATAAATTTTTTCTGTACTTGGTTACTTGAAGAATAAAATTATTCTCCCATTTGAGAACAATGCTAACATTCAATAAGGTTGAGACTGCACAAAAATTAGAAATCTTATTAGATTTCATAATCTCTCCCTGACTTCAAAATAAGTTCTGAGGTTTTGGGAGATTTATTCAAGATATCTTAATATTTATTTATTAAAAATACTTTCTTTGAAAATTATATATATTTGTTAATCACTAAATTAATAATGTTCAATCAACTTACCTCTTTTTTATCAGACATTCTGACTCTTACAAGAAATTCTGGAGTCAGTCAAGAGAAGTTACTTGAACATTTATTAATATATTGACAATTTTCGCTCTAGTCATCAACTGAGAACTTTCATAAAAAAAATTCTGCTATCTTTGGAATACACTAAATTTTAGTAATTTTTACATACTTTAATAGGAATTATTAATTAATATTATATATATATATATATATATATATCCATCCAAATCTAATGAGAATGAAAAGAATATAAATTCAAACATTCATAACATTAATTTAAAAGAAGGTTCAATACAAAAATAGAGCAATAGTTATTTATTATAAGTTATTACATATGAACAAACAAATAATCACAACAAAGATGCATATTTGTTTCAATGCCTAATATAAGTATCTCATCAGGTGGTGAACAAAGATGGTTATAAATGATTTTATTTAAAAATGCTACTTATGAAACATCACTTTTTTTTTACATTTTTAAAAATTTAAGAAGACATAAAAAGAATTTCCATAAAAGAAAAAGAAAAATATATGCAGGTTAAAGCAGAAAAAAGAGGACAAGAAATCAAGAAAAGGAAAAAGAAAAAAAGAAAGAGAAATAGACAGAGTAAAGAAAATCATGAAAAACCTCCCTTCTCCAAAGAAAAGAAGAGAATAACGAAGAGGAGTAATATATCAAAATTAACTAATACAAAGAAAAGGAAAAAAAGAAAAGGAAAAGAAGAAACAAAGACAAATCAAACTTAGATAAAAGTTCATTTAAACTTTTTTCAAATTATTATTAAGAAAAAGTAAATAAACTTAAATTAAGACATATTCAAACATTTAATTTAATCATTTTTTTTCAAGCAAAAACTATAGCGTGCCCTACTTCTTCAAAAAATAATTATTTACTATTTATTTTAGAGGGGAATTTAAATTTTTTTAAGTAAATAAAGTTTTACTTTTAAACATTAATTACTATTTTGAAAGAGAGTAGAAGCAAGATACATTGAAAATTTAGTTTGAAAAGTGATTATGTTTAAATTTCAAGTAATATTTATATTTGAAAAGAAAAAAAAATTAGTTAAATAAAAATTAGGAGAGACAGACATAACTTACAGTCAACAAGAGTTGTGTTGAATATTTGTTTTATGAATTTAAGTATATTTTATTTAAATTAATTTAAAAAAAAAAAAGGCTCACTATAGTTTTTTGCTTTAATAAAACTTAACTGAAAATTATTTACTTTTTTATGTTAGTTACAAACCAAAAAAATAATGAAGTTTATTTTTTAAAGATTGAATAAAAAATTATTTTCCATAAGATGTCCAAAAAATATTAATAAGTTAATAATACACACACATACAGACAATTGCCCTTTAGGGTGATGCTGAGTCTATATATTTATTTTGTAGCCAAAGACAGATGGAGAGAGAGAGAGACACACACACACAAATAGTTGAATAAATAAATATCAAAGTTTTTGTCAAATTTAAATATATTTAATCTTCTTCTTAAATTTACTTTGTTGTTTTAATATTCATTTTTTTTAAAGTTACACTTTTATTTACTATAGATGTGAAAATAAATTCAAGAGAATAGTAATCTTAAAAATACATACATGTATAGCATTTAGCAGAATAAAAAAGTAAAAATGAACGGTAATCCTAATCTGGAATAAGGATTATTACCATTCATTTTTATGTTTTAATTTTGAGAATTTTTAATGAATTCTAATGCATTTTAATTTTAAAATATCTTCATAAATACAAATCATAGGATGATAATTTTTTTTTATAAAAACTGGCCTGGGTGATAATGAGTTTGTATATATATTTACTTTGTCATGAACTGTTGTAGTTTTTTAGTTTTAGATAGATATACACACACACACACACACACACACACACACACACAACCGCCCTTTATATATGTATAGATAATTTGTATATTGTTTTCTCAAGTGCTCTATTTTTAAATTCCTTTAGAAAAACTTTAAACACATATACTTGATTTACCTGCCATGTAATTTCAATCTAACTTCAGAACTTTAAACTTTATATAAATACACACACATACACAATAACTCTGACAAAGTTGAACTATTCAATAAATTGCTGAGAGAGAAAGGTTACCTTCTTCTTACTACCAATATTGGTTTGTTTCTTGCGATGACTATCATCACTGTCTGCATCTGAAAAGCTTTCATCCAACTCATCAATACTTGATTCATCATCATCATCATCATCAAGAGATTCATCATCACTCTCAGTGGAGTCTTCACAATAATCATCATCTCCATTAATATCAGACACAAGTAATGCTTTTAGGCCATTTTCCAAAGTGAGAATTCTGCAGAAAAAATGTAAATAGATTTTAAAATCCAAATATAAAATGCAGTGTATATCTATATGCACAGGTCACACTAGGCCATAGGTCATTGAGAATATATTTTAACATTTAATGCTAAATGACATGAACCAAATTTTAACATTTCTCTTTCAGGCTTATTAAGAGCAACAATATTGCAGTTTTTAATCAGACATAAAAAGTGAAAAATAACCCCATGCTTATGACATCAGTTGCCAACCACAGTCACTCAGAGATAGCAAGCTTCTTGAAAGTGGCCAGGTGAACAGAAAAAAATGAAGGTGGCTCAGTAGGGAACCCATAGGCATATCTATACATACTTGTATCTGTTAACAATATCTAAAATATGGGATGCATGTGTTCACCCACATCTCCCATATAGTACATCCCTTCAGGTTTGATTAGTGCTAACATTTGAACATGTAGAGGATTCATTTGTCAAGGAATGCATGTTTGTGATGGAACAAGATTGAGAACTTTTGAAGAAATTGAATTCAACATTCAGAAGGAATAAATTTCAACATGTGGAGATATTTTTATGTAACAAACAACACAATTCACAGAAAGGAAATATACTAGTGTGTGCTAACACAGCTGAAAAAGAGTAAGAAAAAATAGTTATAAGGTTAGCTAATGGAAAATGTGTACATTAAATCTAGTAGGTGCTCACATGGTAGGTATTTCAGAGCAGAAGAGAGAGAGAAAAGCCTATATCCGTTCTTTTATGATCCCGAAACAGTGCCACCAAGTGAATGTCTTGTCAAACTAGCTGCAGTCAGTTTTACATTGTAATTACTTTACAAACTCATTTGGCTAATCATGGTCAATCTAATCCATCCACTCACTATACAAGAGGGTAAGGAAAAGTTAACCCACTTCTCAAAATCTAACCAAAGGACCAAACATCTAAAAATTTATTTTGGAATTTCTTCATGACTGAGCCAAGAACCATTCATCACCCACTTCATATCAACTCAACAGTTCCTTTAAAAAAATAGCAGTCAGAACAGAAGAGACATTTCTTTAAAACTGGTTACTCAAATTTTTGTCCATTTTAGCTAATACTAAATTAACATTTTTCTTGAAAAATACTAGCATGGATGCAATTGCACAATATTCTTTTGTAACGCTTTAAACTTATTTAAATAAATGTATATATAAACATCTATGGAGCTACAGCAAAATAAATGTATTATTAATTGAAGTCAATGAAAGTGTAATTTGCAAAGAATACATTTTTAAACTGTATCACAATAAATTCATTCAACTTTTGTTAGTTTATTACTTACAAATATTGTAATGTAAATTAAACTTGTTATTTAATTTAATGCCTTGTCTACGTCCATTGTGTAGTCAGATTACTTCCCTTGAAAAAACAAAATCTGATCAAAAAAATGAGGCTACAAAAGTTAATTATTTTTAATATAACTTTTTACTTTTGTTACCTGTAATCTCTGGGGTCATTTGGGGACTTGACAACAACTGAAGTAACTTGATCAACTGATGACTCCAAGCATTTTTCATCTGATGGCATCTTGTTTTGAGAATATGTAAAGTTCCTCTGAGAATATGTAAAGTTCCTCTGAGACAAAGGTAATAATGACAGCAAGGAGGATTTCTCAAAAGATTTTCTAGCAAACCACTTGGGGGTCAGCAAAGTCTAAAATGAAATATATATTAAATGTCAACAAGATTCTGAAGAGTAAAAACCAGAACAATATATATATATATATATATATATATATATATATATATATATAATTTAAAAAGAAAATGTAGTTTTGTAAATTTTTGCAACTTCATTCTTTTATTTTGGGGCACTTTGGTATTGTGTGATGTTTCATAAACTTCTCACTAGATCAATTATGAATAAATAGTGAGTTCGATTCTTACTTGATGCTCTATACTTGCAACCTTATGCCACATCTAAGCTTAATAAATGACTATTACATCATATTGTTCACACTATTAAAAAAGAAATAAACTAAAGGTAGATAAAGGTAACGTGCTTACTTTTTGTTACAGCTATTTCATATTTTTAGTAAATTTGTAAATAGAAAAAATTTGTACCAATTCCAATAAAATCCCATTTCGAAAATACACAGATAAAAGCTGTACTGATCAATATGTAGAAAAAATACAGTACTGTAAGTATATTTTCTTATATTTGATGCATCATATTCATAGCACTACACTCTACTGTACTGCTGACAGTATAGTGTACAGTAAAAAAACTAAGCCGAACATCAAAATAGAAAATTGCAAGACTTGGAAATTATTGAGATGCTTAATTTTATTTTTTATGTCACAGGTAAGAATAGAAAAATGTTTATTTAACCATACGACAACTTGAACAGAATACAAGGTTGAGTTGAGTATAAAAGTAAACTAAAAAGAGTCTCACACGTACATGGGTCTAGCGAAGGGGGGGGGGGATTGCTCACGTTCCCGAAACATTTCCACTTCGGGATGCCTTTGGTGCCAAGGAACCCTAGCCCTCTACCGAATCATTAAGAAATTACTGTTCCTATTTGCTTGGCAAAGTGCAACATTTTACACGTTATTAAATTTAAATGGAAATAGTAAACTTTTTTTTTTTACAATCAATATATACAAGGTATTAAGATCTAATTTTAAAACTAAAAAATAAAAACAACTGTTAGTTGTACAATAATACTAGTGTAACAGTCATTATTTGTTGATGATCACAACACAACTATACGATCATAAAACAATATACATACGCACATAAACTTATTAAAAAAATCAAAGGTAGACTAAATTTAAAATTTTAATCCTTGTAGTGTAGTGCAATTATTTCTTCTGTAACTCTTCGTCTACACTTTACACTACAGTACACACAGTATTTCCAGTAAAAGATTTCAAATTTCTGTTTGTACCTTTCTTTGTTTTTCAAGATATTACCAGTAGTAAAACCCCGCGTATTCAAATCTTCAACTGCAAAAATATAATTAATTGTAATTAGAATAAATTAACTCTAACAAAATTAATCCAAAAAGGTAAAACGCACATAATCATGAGATTACCTAAGGAGAGAAATAACAAATTTAAAAGACTTAAAAATAAATCAAAATTGTTTCCAAAAACAAAAATCAAGAGATTTTAAAAGACAAGACGCTGACATAAAAACGGTATTTTATTTTTCTTTAAAATTCTACTGTATTCTGTTCTGCGTAAATTATTCATTTTACACGTCAAGATCATATAATATTATGATTCTGTCAGCAAAGATACAAATAGCCAATATTTCAACATGATGTTGAAGAAAAAAAGGAGGACCAATTTGTCTATAAGAAATTATGAAAAACTAGACCCCCACTTTGTAGTCCTTATATTTATTTATTTACGCTCAGGAATTTTTGAACTATAAACAAAATAGACATTCTATATTTCTTCTATAAATATATAATCACTTCAATAAATATTAAAGGTAATTTAGTTTTGTACTTACAAGTCGTAGTATTTCTGTATTTCTGCATGTCACAGAAACAACACGTGCAAGCATAGATAGGAAGCGAACACATGCCGGGCTAATTTTTATCCAACTCCCAAACAATCCAGAAGGACCTATTTTTACAAATTGTATGAGATACGAAAATGTTACTAACTCTAAACTAAATTATTTTCATCAAGAGTTTAGTTTAGATACTAAATATAATGCTATATATAAGAGAAAAAATGTATATACTTGAAAAATACATAGCACTCCGGTAGATACGCTGGAATAATTTTTCAAAAGCCATTTAATTTATTTTCACCGAATATACTGTGATTCAAGGGAATTTGTTTAATTGTTAAAATAAGAAAATATTTTGTTTAATTTTATAACTACTTGTTAGTTTTACTACCAAACCTTATTCTTTCTGAAAATATTGGCTTTTATACTTTTATGGCGGTTTGTTTTAGTTACTTGGGGTTTTCAGAATATTTTGTCCAGATTCTGTCTCTAAACTAAACAAAAAGTCTTTCTTAAAGTTTTTAAGTACAGTGATCGATTATTTATTTAGCCAAGACATTATAGCCTGTTTTGTTTTCTTGTTTTGTCATTATGATTTAAATGTTTGTTTTCTCCAGAAAGATTAGTTTTGATATTTTGAAAGCTAGTGTTATTAAGAAAGTTATCTTTTTAAAGGTTCCGTTGGTGTACGTTTTTGTTGTTTAATTCTCATTAAACTTCAATTAAACAAAACGTGCACTCAGTTTATTGCATCTTTTAATGATTAAAAATACAACAAACTAAGTGTTTTCACTCAGTGTTATGAAACCATCTAATACTCATAGAGATGAATATTCCCGTTTGCCTTTTAGTTTTATTCAATAATTCACCGAAAAAAACAGCATGGCCCATAGCACGATGGAAAAGTCCCCAAACTTAATAAAAACAAAGTTTTATCGCCAAACAAAATGTTTATGTTATTATTAAAAGGAAAGACCAAAATATTTTTTTTTAATTTTAAATCTTTTTGAAATTTTGGTTATATTTTTTTTACGTCAGCGGTCGCGTAATAGCGTTTTTTGTTGTTTTTTAACGCTTTTTTCAGTTGAAAAACACATTAATTTGGAAATTCTTACAAAAATCAAATTAACTGTCAGATGTTAATGAAACTTCCGAAACTTATTAAAAAATGAATGAAATTATTTTAGAAATGTCTATTCTCTAGAAAGTCATGGTAAAAATATTTTTTTACATCTGTTACCCCCACCTTACTTATGAAAACTCGAGTGTGTGTATTTTTCATTTTGTGATTTTTTTTTTTTAATTAAATGCAGAAGACTTTGAAGAATATAAATCATCGATTATTTTTTTTTTTATCCAAAATTTGGCTCTGAATTGTAAAATACAAAACCCAATAAAACGAAGACATTATTTAATTAGAAAAATTGCTTTTATGAATAATATGTTAAGTACATTATTGTATGAAGCCAAAATATTTCTCCAATGAAAAATGAATTTTTACAAGAATTGTTTTCTTTTCTTTTTTTTCAATTTTAAATACAAAATGTGATAAAGTTGTTAAATATTTTAAAATTAAGTTTGAATATGTGTATCTCTGAAAATGCTCTTAATAAAAGATCAATGTCACGTGTTTTAAAAGTTGTTTCTCTTGGTAGCGAGGATCCGACCTCATAAATTGGGTTTATTTCGTGTCAAATTCTCTGACTGACCGACTATCATCGTCGCATTTTCAATTTTTTCATTTTTTTTTTTTTTTACATATTTCACTAAATATTTTTTTTTTTTTTCATTTTTTAAAATACAATCATTTTATTTCTTTTTCAGTGAGTGACATCGCAAAATACATTCGAATGCTTAAAGGTGGTCATCAGCGATGAAAGCAGTCTTCATCGCTGATCTCGGGGTTCTTATTCATCATATCAGCTCCGACAGCCACCCCCGACCTGTTATCTTATCCTACAGGTCGCCACCGTGTAAAAAAGAATTGTGCTAGTGCTCATAACAGAATTTATACTTTCTGCTCTTTAAAAAAAAGGAAACAAACAAAAAAAATAAATAAATAAATTAAATAATAATAAAAAAAATATATAAAAACCAACGGAAGCGTCCAAAATTGCTTGCCCAATTAAAATATTAACAATACATTAACTTTTCACTAAAATGGGGGCGTCTTTTCTTTTTTTCTTTCTTTTTTCTTTTCTTTTTCCCTCCTCTTTTTTTCTTCCTTCCAAACTGAATTATATAGATTGCTTGCTTCGCACCAATTAAAAAATGTAATCTTTCCAAAACTAACTTATACTACTTAATTAAAAAGTTCTTATTATCGTATGAAATGGATTGATTTTACGTATTTACAGTTATCAATGGTACCGAGAGGGATGGATGGAATATTAAATTAAACTTTAGGGATGGATGAAATATTGATTTGAATTAAATTAACAATGTATATGGTAGAGACGAATTAATTCTAAATTATAACGTTTAAAATAACTTGACAATATTGTGGCGTATGGTATAAATGAATTTTATTAATGTTAATTTGTAGATTGATTTTAATTTATGTTATAATAACATTATCGTATGAAAGGGATAAATTCTAAATTAAGCTCCAATACCTGAACAATATCGGATGTTAAGTTACGCTATTTTCTGTTTCATGACAAGAAAAAAAAATTTTTCGAGAGTTTGTGAGCTAAATTTAACTAAAAACCTACAAAAACCTATTTATTCGCAAGCAATATAAATCCAGATAATTTTATCAATACTGTGGGGTGATTTTGTCTCTAGCTTTTTAGGGATTATTTTCCATTGAATTATTCCCCCACTGCTCGGATCCTTTAAGCCATATCCATTTAGAAGCCAGCAGAGCTTCATTTGAAATTTTCTTAACGGCTTTGGCTTTAGCTGATCCCACTATCCCTATTTTCCTAAAAGCTTTGCATAATGACTGGCCTGCAAAGCCACAACATCCTACTTCCACAGAGTCATATGTGACCTTCCAAGAATTTTGCTGACACTTTTCGATCAATTCTTGATATTTTGATCGTTTCTATTCGTTTGCTAATGTCAGGTATTCTTCCCAGGGGACTGTGAGCTCCCATATTATACAGTGTTTGGTGGAGTTGGAATAAATAATCAAGTCTGGTCTTAGTGATGTTTCCGCTATATGTCTGGGGAACTTTAGTTGTGTCTTCAGATCTGTCTCCAAATGCCAATCATTTGCTGACGATAACAAGTTTGTTTTGGGGATCGTTTGTTTTTCCTTCTTTGTTCCCTCTTTAACGAAGGGAATTAATATGAACTTCTTATTCGGTTTGTATTTAGAAGTTCTCACTGCTTCACTGACTTCATGTGCTATTGCCTTTAGGACTTGGTCGTGGCACCAACGGTATCTACCGTCACTCAAGGCTTTAGCGCAGCTACTTAGGATATGTTGCAGTGAAGCGCGTTTCCCATATAATTGGCAATTTGGGGTATCCCTTGTCCATGCTCCCTGTGAACTAAGTCCCACCATCTTGCAGTATCTCGTTTCTTCAATCACTGCTCGAACTTATTTTTGGATTAATTGACGTTTTTCTTTCCCTTTGGCTCTGTTTATTTGGGGACAAGGAAAATAACCGAGGCCCGCTCTACCTTTAGCGATTGTGCCAAGAATTTCTTTATGCCGTAATCTATCCTCTGCTATCTCCAACTCCTTTTCTGCACGCCATTTTCTCCCCGTTCGTGATTGAATACATGCTGCAACCACTTTTGGGTCTTTTGATTCTTTATATTGCAGCTGTTCTCTTAATCTTGTAACTTTAAACTCCTCAACTAGACTATTGAAAGGAAGCTGAAGAGCATTACTCCTGCCGTAGAGTGCTGCTATGCTCAGACACTTCGGAACTCCCAACCATCTTCTCAGGCGCCGAGTTATTAAATTCTCCAGTGATTTTACACTGGTCATTGGGAATTCGTACATCAAAAGTGGCCATAATATTCTGGGTAAAACGGCGTGCTGAAATAACCAGGCTTTAAATCGACCTGGTAAGCCTGATTTATCAATCTTATTGAGCCACTGTGTGAGGTCTTTAGTTGTCTGTTCAATAGCCACAGTGTCTCTTAGACTGCCGTCAAAAAACTTACGCAGGCTCTTAACAGGTTTTTCGTTTAGGATTGGGATAATTGCACCGGATATTTTAAAATGATATTTCTCCGTTATTTTTCCTTTTTTAATGACTAATGATCGGGACTTAGCTGGCTTAAAAGTCATTCGGGCCCATGTAATGTTTTTCTCTAAGCCCTTCAAGAGCCATCTTCCTCCTGTTACGGATGTGCATGTTACGGTTAGATCGTCCATGTATGCTCTAATGGGGGGGCTGGCGAATTCCTGATTTAGAGAGGGGGCCTCTACACTCTACTTCAGATGCTTTGACCAGCATATTCATAGCCAGCGAGAACAGTACTGCGAACAGCGTGCACCCCGTGATAATGCCTTTCTCCAGGGTGTGCCATTCCGATACTATTCTTGCCGATACTCTAAGCTGAAAGTTGTTATAGTAGTCTGAAATCAGACCACTAATTGAAGAGGGAACGTGATGCCTTTTTAGAGCTTCTTCCACGAGCTTATGAGGCATGGAACCATACGCATTGGCGAGGTCGACCACAGTACTGTCAGATCGCTTTTCTTTTCTCTCGCATCTCTTATCAGCTGCGTAAGTACGCCTGTGTGTTCCAGGCACCCTGGCATTTCTGGGATACCACCTTTCTGGACAGATTTATCGATGTAATTGTTCGCCAATACGTATTTAGTAATACGTCTTGATAATACACCAAAAAAGATCTTACCTTCGGTGTTCAAGAGGGATATTACTCTAAATTGGTCCAGTGTTGTGGAATTCTCTTCCTTGGGAATCCATACCCCTTCTACGCGTCTCCATTGTTCGACTACCTTGCCTTTCCTCCAAATGATCCTTATTAATTTCCATAATTTCCGGAGAATCCCTCCACATCTTTTATAGACTGTGTACGGCACTCCGCTCGGCCCTGGTGCTGAAGCAGATCTTGATGCTCTTACCACTTCTTGGATTTCTTTCCAAGTGGGCATGC